ACAGCATGGATGTGAGGGTACGATTTCACCGCTCCACCATCCTATCGGTTTGAGGATGGTAGGGCGAGGTCCGGATTTTCTTAATGCCAAGGAGGTTACAGACCTTGAGCAGTCTGGAAGAAAAATTCGGACCCTGGTCGGTTAAAAGCTGTTCAGGGGCACCCTTATCCAAAACATACCCATGTAAAAATGCATCGGTAATAGACGAGGCCGATTGGTCTTATAAAGGCCATGCCATGGGATAAAGTGTGAGGTATTCGACCCCGACCAAAAAATACTTGTGGCCCCGTAGGGAAGTTGGAAATGGGCCCAAAATGTCGAGGGCCACAAGTTCATTTACACGAGAAACCTGGATGGACTGCAGTGGGGGCCGATCCCGCACAACCAGGGCCTTCCGCCGCGTGCAATCCTGGCAGCCCATCACAATTAGCGCCACGTTGTTTTTCACGCCCGGCCAGTAATAATCCCGCTTAAGGGTTAACAAGGTTTTGTGGGTCCCAAGGTGCATCAACTTCTCGTGAACTGCAGGAGTCAGTTTCCCTCTTAGGACAGTGGGCACCACAACACAAAACCTCTCTAGCCTCATGTCCCAGCGCATAAGGAGACTGTCGTGCAGGGCAATGGCCGGGGTGGTCGACGGAGTGGAAGAACAGCCGTCAGATTGAACATGGCGCCGCAGCTTTAACAGAGAGGTGTCCTCCATCTGTAAGCGAGACCATTCCTCCCGAGGGAGACCATGGCCAAAATCCACAGGCAGCGACACACCCGGAAGAGGAGCCGCGTCGGCTGTTGCCACCAACTAGGGCCCGGTGTCAATTGGGCCCCTGCAACGACTCGAGCCCGTCGTGCACGCACACCTGCCATCCTGAGGCAATCTAGACAACGCATCCGCATTCCTATGCTGTGGATGACGTCGAATGTATATTCCTGCAGCACCTCAAGCCAGCGGGACGGCTGACTCGAGGGCTGATCAATGCGCAAGGAATATTGCAGGGCAGCATGATCTGTCCGAACGGTGAACCGCCTGCCATACAAGTACGACCTATACAATTGGACGAAAAACACAATGTCAAGCAGCTCCCTACGGGTCACACAGTAACGTTGTTCCGCAGGGGACAACACGCGACTGCCATACGCCATGACCCTTTCAGCGCCATCAACCACCTGGGAAAGTACAGCTCCTATGCCCGTGCCGCTGGCATCGGTTTCAAGCACAAAGTGCAGGGAGAAGTCAGGATACCCCAGGGGGGCGCATCGCCAGGGATGCCCGAAGCGCAACGAACGCTGCCTCCTCTTTTCCCCAATGAAACTTTTGGCCTTTAGCGGACAACGCGTGGAGTGGTTTCGCGATAGTCGCAAATTCCCGCATGAAGTGACGGTAATGAGGCAAAGCCAACGAAACTGCGAACCTACGCGACAGATGTGGGGGTTGGTCATGCACGGATGCAAGCAGTTTTTTCTGGATCTGTGGCGACGCCTGATGCACTGACTACATGGCCCAAGTACTTCACCGATGGCTGCAGCAAATGGCACTTTTGGGGTTTGAATTTCAGGCCAGCAGCACGCACTTTGACAAAGACCGACTCAAGACGATGCAAGTATTCGTCAAACGTGCGGCTGAAAATGATGACATGGCGACAAAGGTTTTCGGCCACCTCCGACACCAATTGTTGTATAGTAGAACCACGCAAAGACGGAATTTACTATAAGGGCTGTTGCCATTTATTAAACACTTACATTCAGCACTCAAGCTCACACCAGGGGTAGGAGCTCTCTATTCTTGGTCCTAACCCTGGACCCCTGAACACTATGTCATCCTATCCTCGGCTATCGCTTGGGCTCTCTGACTCAGGCCGGGGTGGGGGCTCACCCAACACCAGCCAGCAATGAGGAGAGAAGAACCCACTCTCTCTCAGCCGATCCTCACTGAATACTTGGAGCCCTACTCTCAGCTATCCCCTTAGCTCTCCCTCTCGTCTGCCCCGGACGGGGGTTCAGCCAACACCGTCCGGCGACGAGCGGGAGAGACCTTTCTGCAGCCGATCCTTACTCCGGGCTCCCACAACGACCCCGCCCTCATTACGGGGTCCCCCTTGAGTACCCCTCGGGCGGCTCCTCCCCCTAACTCGGACCCGCCTTTATTCCCGAAGGTACCCCCTTACAGCACCCGTGACATGACGTCATCCTCCGCTGTCAACTTGCTCGCACCTCCCTCTGCATGCCCTCTCATGATTGCTCACACTACTCCTCTACACATATACTGTACACCTGCACATCGAACGCCAATTTATATAATCAACACGATACGAAATTCGTACTCGTAAATGTTAATTGTGCGAATTAACACCAGGATAAATGTGCATCAGTTTTGGCAAAAAAACCCATCTTGTTATTGCATAATCTGTGTATTGGCAATCACAGGTATCTTCATTCAAAAACCAAATAACTGTAGGGTTCAGGGTTAACGCGCAAAATCAGTTTGCAAATATTGCACACTATTTACACACACACCTGTAATGTGTGGCAAGCCTCAAGTGGGTGAACTTTGAACTTAAGGCAGTGATGTGTTCCTATTTTTTCACCCTGAATTGATTAACCACATGAGCTGATTATTCTGAACAATAAATTCTAGTTGTCTTTTGAATTGCACCTGCAACAAAGCGAAGACGGAAATCAAAGAAGCCGTGTGGTCATTAATGCGGGACACGGGGGTTATTTCACGCGGGCACCTCGTTTTCACATAATATGAGCTTACTACGGGTAAATAGCTTAAACTACTATGTATAAGGCAGGTAGGTTTAAGTATGACAATAGTCCCAACATTTTCAGGAATTATGTACAGCACGCGGTGGTGCAATGCATTATTTCCATGGGCATCATCGCACAGAAAGTAACCTTTGGTCGCCTTCACAGCCGTTGTACAGTCGCAGTGTGCAATGCTGGCACTAGAGTTACACTTAACCTCACACGCTCTCTCAAGGTGTCACTGTTCCCTGCACCCTTCACCCAAAGCATCTCTCACGGCAGTCCTCATCTCAATGGGGGGGTCGTCCACCCGGAGAAAAAAAAAAGAACGCGAGTTTAACCACGATTTTTTTGTGTGAAGCAATACCGAGAGAAACTGTAATATAACTATTTCACGTGTAAAAACAAAGGAACGTTCAATAGGAATTAAGTGTTATCGATCACAGCCCACTTATGTGACCTTTTCGGGTTTCTCACGATCAGGATGTTTTGCATATTGCCTGAGGCACACACATAAACACGGGCACACAGATGCAACACGCAACAGAACACGGAATACATGCGGATAAAAAAAACCCCGCAAATGTGCACTACAACGGGCGTGAGTGCAATTATTGAATCATTTGTGTTCTCGATGAACGAAGCGGAGACCTCCTCCCCTCTCAGTAACAGCGAGTGTGAGACCCGGGACCAATACAACAAAGACCCGTGCAGCTTGCGATGCTAAGACGACAGCAGACGGGGATGGGTCCCTCCAGGGAACCCACTTGCCCTCCTCCATGGCCACCCTCCACCCCCCACACATCAATAGTGTCCTTCAGAACCACCTATATACTGGATTACAATGCCCTCCAGCGTAATTACATATGCAAAATGACTTCCACCACCACTATCCATTTACACGCACAATGCTTCCTACACCACTGCATATTATATCGCCACTATCATTACATCGTACAGGCTAATAGCCTCATCGCCACATTTTGCTTTCTCATTGCCCTTTACAATTATTACATTCGCAATACTTCCAATATACTGTACGTTGTTAAATTAGCGATACCTTCTGCCATCATCACGTGAATTGCCTTTGTCCTCCACCAGATCGATATATTCTATTAAGAATTCCTTTCATCACGAAATATTACGTGAACAATTTACTCCATCGTTACAAATTCCCAATGCCCTCTATCACTGCACATTGCCTACACCATTATATAGCATTCACATAGCCACTTCACGCGATGCTAGGGTATTATGATTACCCTCCTTCTATAGTGACACATTCACAATGCCCCTTATTTACTTCGCATCGGATCAAGAATTCTCTCCACTGTGACGTTCTCGAAGCTTCTATCACAACTGAACATCGCACGAGTGGGCCCCGTCATGACATATTGCGTGAACAACTCCGTGTCTTTATCATCGTATATCATACTCGCATCACCTGGTCGATCACCAATTGGGTCGAGGCTCAAAAGAAAGCCGTCCCTTGGTGTGGACCAATCAGTTTCAAGGACAATGCATCATATATTATCATAGTATGTTTTTTGTTCGCATTTTGACTGCAGGTATTGTGGTTAATGCAGCAACATGAATCCTTGTAAAAAGGTTTCAGTTTTGTTGCCAGAAAAAAAGGGGAAAACCCCTATTATTACATTTTGGTACTGGCAAAGTAGGTCTAATGATGTAGATGCTCACCCCGAGCCCTCATTACTTTGATAGTGGCATTGTCTTTGAGCTGTGTGATGCCTTTTGGCGTCCTCTGGTCGAGCACCAATTGGGTCGAGGCTCAAAAGAAAGCCGTCCCTTGGTGTGGACCAATTTGTTTCAAGGACAATGCATCATATATTATAGTATATTTTTTGTTTGCATTTTGACTGCAGGTATTGTGGCTAATGCAGCAGACATGAATCCTCGTGAAAAGGTTTCAGTTTTGTTGCCAGAAAAAAAAGGGGGAAAACATCCAATTATTATTATTTTGGTACTGGCAAAGGAGGTCTAATGATGTAGACGCTCCCGCATGGCTTTATGTTTAACGCCGTTCAGAATGCCCCCTCCATCACGATCGCAGCGTGGACAATGCACCCCCCTCGCCCTCCACACACACACACAGCTGCTAACCGAAGGTCCCCAGCCCACCACTCATTCATTCCCACTCGCATGGTTCTCATTGGCCTGACAGCTCGAGCAAGGGGCCCAGGGCGGGCTCCCCGTGGAGGAGGGAGGAGAGAGAGCAGCAGCAGCAGCGACAACGAGGAGGAGGAGGGAGGAGGAGGAGGGAGGAGACCTCCCCACCACCACCACTGAACCACACGGAGCCGCTAGCCCCCACAGCATGCGCGGCGAGCTGCCTCGGGTCGCCATGGAGCCCGCGACACCATCAATGTAAACCACCGCCGCCGCCACCACACCACCCGCTATGTAGCACTGTACTCTTTTTATTTAAACAAAAAAAAACAAACAATTATAGTCACCATCGTTATCCTGAAACGGTTATTAGCGAAGGCAGGACGAGCGAGAACAGAGCGAGGGGAGTCCACGCGTCTAGAGACGCCATGGACGCGGCGGCCGTGCCGAGCGCGGCGCCCCCGGGGGCCGCCTCCTGACGGCGGCGTGCGGCTCGGTGGCGGCGGCGGCGGCGGCGGCTTCGTCCTCGGCGTCGTCGGCGTCGTCCGCCTGTCGCTCCCTGCCGAGTGTCCGTTCATCGTCCGTCCGTCCGTGTCTTCTGTCGGCATCGCGCTCGACCGCCGTCTCGCGTGCTGCTCTTGGCTGGAGCGCGTCCCGTCTCATCAGGCGATAAGGACGCGGGTTTCGTGTCGGCGAGGACGACAATAAGGCACCCCCGGGGCCACCCTTTCGTTCGGTGATGGTAGCTGTCTCTGCTGGGTGGAGTGACCGCACCGAGCGACACGGCGGCCCGGCGTGTTAGGGGGTGGTGGTGGTGGTGGACAGCGGAGCCGGGTCCCTCCGTGCCTTCATCGCTCGAATTAACGAAGCGGGGTGGCGGGGGAGGGCATCACCCATCTCTCGCCACTTGATTCGTTACAGTATTGTTGTTGTTATTATTACTACTACCGTCTAGTGCGATTGTTCTACGTAGTGTTGTTAGGGGGGGGGGGAAGGCTGAGATCATTTGTACATGACGCGCACGACGTTGACCCGAATGTTCATTGAGTTGAGTCGGCGTATTTACTGCTCCACTCTGATGAATTTTGATGATTGACAGCCTCGTTTAAAGGGGTGTTTAACAACGCTGTGTAGTTTTTATATGATAACGTGTGCACGTCTGGGAGAGCGCTTTGTCGTCTCGGCTGGGGAATTGTAGGTAAAACACGGATATATATAAAAGCTCGGTCAGATACTATTAAACGCGGCCACTTGCACGTGTTAGTGGGACAATTGTTGAACGAGACCTGTAAGAGTCTTCACATGCCCGTGTCTGCAGAGGAGAGCCCGCGTGAAGGAGCCACGATCCGATTGTATTGTCCTTCGCGATTCATCCACGTTCACTCATAATTCACCGGTTCGTTTAGTCCTCATTGGCCCCTTCATTAATTCATTCAATTGTCAAATCATGAGCCTTTCAATGAATTGTTCGCTTAATTAACGGATCCAGCCATTGATTAATTACTTGTTTCACCCATTCATTGGATTGGTCGTTCATTATTTTAATTATTCTTTAGATTTCTTCGTGGGACACATTTCAGCGACGCGCCAAGCCTGCTGCACCCATCAGCTGTTCTGGGTTGCTCATTCGACCTGGATTAATCGAGTGGTACAAATCCAATGCCAAACGGCCGTGCGTCCTGCACATATCCAATTTCGGGTTCCCTGCCGATAGCCGTTGTTGTGGAACACAGCGGACGCTCACGTAGGCTCTGAACAGTGACCATGATGAAGGCAGACGCTGCAGCGAGCGATGTCATGAAGGTGCAGCAGGTGACGCAGCAGGTGCAGGTGGCGCCACAGCTACGCAGCGCATCTCCGCACCGGATCGCCTACCGAGCCGAGTTCCAGGCACTCAAGCGGACCTTCGACCACACCGAAATGGGCAGCCTCACCGCAGCGGGTAGCAGGGTTAATCCCCTGGTGACAGTCGGATCTGACCGAGCCGGCAATGAGCGGGGTCTCTCGGCCTCATCCTTGGCCAGCGGACGACAAGACCGCAAGTACGGCGCCAACGTGAGCCGCATTAAGACCATGCTGCTGCAAGGCACCCAACAGGGCAACGAGGATGGTGCAGAGCAGCAGCAGCAGCAGGGATCCTCCAAGAGGAGCCAGCAGCAGCCCGTGTCTGTGAAACAGAAGGCGCGCCAGTTCACGGCGCCGCCACCATCCCCGACACGAGGTGGAGGAGACTCCCCGGGCTGGCGAGAGGGACGGCTGCGGGAGAGGGTCGTGCGCACGGTCCCTGAGGGACAGCAGACGGAGCACGACGGCGCGGCCAGCCTGTTGGGCCGCATCACCGAGGTGCGCAAAATCTTCGAGCGAAGTCTCCCGCGGCAGGGCAGCGACGACGACACGGGCCGGCCGTCCCCCCCGACGTCTTTCTTCTCTGCCTCGTCGTCCCTGCCCCGCAAAGAGCACAAGGGCTCTAGGGACAGCGTGCTGTCAGTGGGCAGCTGCAAGGGCAGCACAGACTCTCTCGACAGTGTTCTCACCTGCAGTCCCTGCACGGAGTCTGCGGTGTCCCCCACTGTGAGCCAATTGGCTGCCGTCTTTGAGCCGGGCAACAGCAGCTCAGCACGTGCTGTGGAGGCCTTGGTTAATACGATTCCGAGACGAGATGAAGGCCATTCGGTGGACAGTGACAGACCTGCCGCATTTGTTAAAGCCGGGGAATTGTCTCATCTCTCACGGGACAGCCTGGACGAGGTCCAAAGTAGCATGGATTCTTCTGATAATCCCTGTCAGAATCACATCCCTGTGCAGATCTCAGACAGGCTGGTGTTTCCTCCTGGAGTAGACCAGAATGAAGTGGAGTCACAGCAGTGTGTCCCTTCCAAAGGCCATGCCAATATCATACTTCAGGTTATAAAGCTGGAGAACGCAATACAGAACAGCCCTCAGCAAGTTTCCCGGAATATTGAAGTTAACTGTGCACCATCATTGAATATTAATGTGGAATCTCGTGACCAGAATATTGCAGTTATTCCAGAGGGAGATGTCTTTAAAGCAGCATTGGTCAAATTACAATGTGATGCACCAGCAATTGAACATGACAGTTTGACGAGCACTGCACACCATTCTGGAAATCAGAAAGTCGTATTAGCTCCGCAAAATATAACCAAATTGTTTTATAGTAAAGTGGAGAATGAAAAATTGGCTAATGATGATATCAGCCTGAACGTCAATGACAATGATACATCATTGGATCACGCGAGAGGAATTAAAGTTGCTTTTGAAGATGAAACTGTCATCACTCCTAGTGGAGATGTCAACTGTGAGGGAATGTGTACAGATTACAGAGAAGCTGGAAATTACAGGGAAGTGCAGGGGCTGTCTGATGAAGAGACCCAACCTAATCGCAAGATCCGTTTCAGCACCGCACCAATTCAGGTAGATATGATACACATCACGCATTTTAAATGCATCAACTATCATCACACAGCTTCACCTATATCCTTTCATCACACTAAGTAATACTTACTATTGGTTTCATGGTATCTGATAATAATGTGTTTAATTGCAATGTTATTTTCAGTAAATCACTTTCAGGTCAATCCGATAAATTGATTTGGTTCGGTGGTTGTGACCTTGGGTCTCATGAAACAAAGGGACAATTTGTGTTTTTTCTCCACTCTCGTAGATTTACAAAACGCGCTTCATTGAAAGTAATGGCACTGGTAATTTTACACGAATATTTTAATAAGTTAGATATTCATTTAGAATGTGTTTAGTCATCACGATGTCTTGGAATCCCCTTTTGAATTGCATCTATTGGATAGGCTTGCAGTGCAGTGCCGGGACATCGTCGATGGCCTCCATGTAACGATGGCTATTCTTGTTGTGCCTAGAATGTCTGACAAATCATCATTGAAAAATGTATGTCAAAAACACAGGACCGTAATTCAATTTTTATGAGTGTAGTTAATCAATGTGCACAGTGTGAATACTTCGAGTATTTGCATGCGCATGTTTCTTTAAAATATACATTGGTTCACATAGCAAGATCTGTTCGGGTTTTAAACAGTCTGTGTAAAATCATAGTGACTGTACAATAAAGCATGCTCTTTTTACTACCGTATATATCTGCATTGGGAAATTTGCAGTTAAATGACCTTGAGGGCGGTGTTAAACAAAACCCACATTGTAATTCAAAATCTTCCGACGTTTTGTATTGATGTGACATATTTATGCTCTTTGCATCATTATAGCCAACTTCTCCAACATTAACATGCCATGGGCACACATCAACTCGCTAGGCTGCAGTTACCAAGGCTTAAGACGTGTCAGCTTAGCCAGAGTGCGTGATTTTTTTTTCAAGACGTCACATTAAAAATATTCCAGTGTCGCTTTGTTTTGGAACTAGCATCTCGACATGTTACCTTTTCACCAATAATCTATTGACATACCAGCTTAATTGTAAAATGAGGTATTATTATGAAACAGTATTGTACATGGGTAGTTACTACTTTCATTGGCATTCAGTACTCCAATAGGTCTTCCATAGGTATCCTGAAACCATTTGTTAGGCAATACACATTGGTAACCTAGCTAGTTTGTCACAGAAGCCATTAAATTGTGCTTCGTTATTACACACTCACTAACTGTTACTTCATTTAGCTGGCATTGCAGATCTTCAAGTGACTGCAGACAGCTTTATTACATAAGCAAGCACTTATTGATGCGTGATTGTAAACTCCAGGAAGAGAAGATGGAACTCGAAATGACATCGTGCACCAAACTTCAGAATGGATGTTAATGATTAATTCCCAGTTTGACTTTTACACCTTTCTGCCAAAAAAAACCTTGAATAAAATATATTCAGTGTACAGTATTACAAAGAAGCCCTGTAAAGACCATGAATGCAACAAGAGGCAGCTTAATAGCCAGAGCGATGGGCTCTCATCCCAGTTACTTGGGTTCTATTCCAACTTCTACCCGTTAAGGGCCTCCCCAAGGTCATCCCAGAGTTAACGTGCATAATAACCACTTTCTGCCATGAGCTTTCATGATTCAGAACGTTGAATAACACCTTTCATTATTCAGAACGTTGGATAACACCACTTATACGTGCATCTGTTGTGTGCACTTAAAATACAAATAAGATGCCATATGTTTTGTAGCCGTGTGATTCTGGCTGCTCTAGGTGTGCTTCTGAGTGCAGCTGAATGCTAGGCTGACTTAAACAGTTACATTTCCTATGAGAGTGTTGTAATGATTAATGAGGGTTTGGCTGAATGGACCCGCTTTCTCGTTGAACTGCCTGCATGTCTGGTGTGATCAAAAGTAGCAGGGAGGGCTGCTGCCAACATGCATTAAACCTACTCTCTTGTGATAATGGATGATGGAATGACTGTGGGAAGAGTTTGGGGCATCTCTCCGGCAACCCCTCAGCATGAACCTCGGCTCTTGTTTTCCAGGCCTTTTTGCATTTCCTTGTTTGGACCACATTCTCCAGAATTTGTGTTGGACTCCCCGTGGTTTCCTTTAATCTGGGCTGAGAGATCGTAGCATTTTAAATTTATATTCTGAGTTGCATGGGAAAAAAATAGATGAACATACTGTATATTTTTGTTTTACCATAATAGCATTGACAATCCTTTGGTAAATGATTGTCACGTACGTTTGTCCTTCAATTAGTATTTATGCTTCGTTTGTATGTGTATTGGCTTGTCCTGTTACGTAATAAGTGATTTTAATGTCCAAAGCAGTAGTTTGTGTAGGTCACATTGGCGCTTCAATGAGACGTGAACATTTTTGGAGGTGCATCAGCAATAACAGAAGAGACACATTTGCATAATGAGATCAGCATACTAATACTGCTGGTATATGCTGTACTGTATGCATTTTACCCACTTTAACCTCAGTTGCATTCTTCCAACATGGTTTTAAGAATCCAACTGAGGACTCCTAAATAAGAAAAACATAGCTTGGTATTTTCATCACGATGCTAGCTTTTTTAAAAGCTATACTACAAAGCCATTGCATAAATAAATACACGCGAGAGGCTTATGTGCCTGCATGACGAAAGCAGAGCCAGCCAGAGCTTGTCGCTCACAGTAAACAAGCTGTGGAGATCTGTGAAAGCTTCCAGTTCCATTTCCCAGCCACTGGGCATCAGAGTGGACACAGCCACACTTTGTTTTTTCTGGCTCTGCTTCATTTAAGAGCCCGTGGTTCAGGGGACCGAGAGACTGAGAAAGACAAATGCGCTTCCCCTGACCGTGAAATAAAATGTGTTTTTGTTGCGTATATGCCTCATTGCTGCGAAAGCACCCTTTAAATAGAGCCACTGTTGACTGCCAGCCTGCCTCAATCTGACTCCCACCCTGTCATGCATGTGACATTGCATACAATGTCGGAAAACAAAACGATATTTTTTGCACGCTGATTGTGTAGGATTATAATAAAAACAATTATTAGCACTGTACTCATTATATTAATGCATAGGCACCGTGCACATTATTGGATACATTCTTTGTCATAGTGCGTTATGCTCCAGCGCGTTGCATTTAAATAATTTAGCACATCAGCAAAGAGGAGACCTCGTGCAGTGGCGCTGATGCAGATCTCGCAGCCCATGAGTGCCCTTTAGCCCGCGTCGAGCCAAACCTGCCAAGCTCCTAGCATTACTCTGCACATCAAGGGACAGCGGGCGGCAGGCGGAGATGAGTTTGTCCTGTGGAGAGCGTTGACACGTCCCAGTGACGCTCTCGGGGAAAGCGCAGAAACGACCTTCTGCCGATGGCTAATTACAATCGTGTGAATGCACACCCTCTTTGTGGCTTGATTCACTGTTGAACACAAACAAAGTGGATGAATTGTCAATACACGTGTTATTTTCTCTGGGTGTCTTGCTGGGTGTGGGACGTGTCAGCAGGATGGGGAAGGGCCAATTGTCGAGACGGGCATTGGAGTGCCTTCCACGAGACTGGTGACCAAGTGTAAGACCTAAGAAAATATGGTGGGGTACTGTGAGGACAGATCTTGGGAGGTCGCCTGTTTGCTTTTCAGCAACTGCAGGAATGGGCAGAGGGTTAAAAGTGTTGGTGAGGTGTGATGGTTTTGGTCATGGTTACATCTTGATCTTGTTTCACAAGGCATGGCGAAGTTAGTTCTTGCAAACTATCTGGGAAAAACCTTGGTCAATCTTACAGACACTTTTTGTTGTTACGATTTTGTCATCAGTAGATCTGAGATGGTTCATAGTTTCTCCATTAATATCTATGCATTTATATCTAATTAAGTCTTGGAAACATTCTCATGTTGCTGTGAATATCTTTGGCGAAAGTATCCGCTTGTTTTTATACTCTAAAAATCTATGGAAATAAAGAACAGGATATGCTCAAAGAACTTAATTTTAAAAACATCGTAAATTTTGGACTCAAGATAAATTAGAAAAACGCAAAACATTCACACGTTTCTAAAACAAGTGAAGATATCTATTTGGAGGGATACAACTGAATAACACATCAGGGTATGTACAGTATACCTAGAGCAGTTATTGAAGGTGGACCAGAATAAAAACAATGAAATCAAGAGAGCAGGTTGGATTTATTTTGGAAATATGAACATAATCCATACTCTTTGGTTCTTTCGGTAAAGTCACGTAGGTAGAAAAATAAAATAAAAAATAATATCACGACGTTTCGATCGCAACACAAGCGGTCGTCCTCAGGCGGAAAAAAATTATCCAGCAGTGAAGCTGCTGAACCAGGAAGGACACAGCGAGAGAACTGTTACAACAAGAGGTTATATATGTTGGCGAAGGGCAAGCAGGCGGGGTCTGAGCTGGAAAGGAATTCCATCCCCGCACGCAAGCACGTCAGTTGTGTTAATGGGGGAGATTAGGGAGAAAGATTAGCAAGAAATGAGCTTCTGTCGCTGCATATGTGCACAACAGTAGTGTTAATGGGAGATTATCACTATGTTGATGGGAGAGATTAGGCAGAAAGATGAGGGAGATTAGCACGTTAATGTAATGTCTATGTGTAACACAAGTTGCGGCGCTGCCCACTGCGCTGTGAGAGGCAAGCGCGTCAACGCAAGAGAATCACCGCAACGGTGGTCGCGCCAGTGAGACACACAGCCCATCACCATCGATACATCAAGGCTAAGGGAGCAGAGGTGGCCATGTTAGTGAGACCCTAGGCCGTTAATGCAGAGGCACCCAACAGGGCAATGCAACTCAGATAGTCGGAGATAACAGACAAACGTGACTTTACCGAAAAAACCAAAGAGTATGGATTCCTGCAGTCACGGAAGCTTCAAATCAAGAATGAACGTAATCATGAACGCTACATATCAACATGCTTATTGCAATGACAAAAACAATTTAACACAATCTGAAAATTGAGCAAAGATGTATGTAAAAGTATATACTGAAAGAGGAACACGTATGACAGAGCATATACGCGAGTTATAGATGTTATATCAGTTAAAAAAGTAAGTGGGCTTGGGTAGGACAGGTCGGTAGAAGGGGTGAATGGTCTGTGATCGAGACATAATGTGCATTTAGTCATGAAATCCTCGGGGAGTCTCATGGCTCTTTTTCAAGAGGGTTCTGCTAGGTTTTCGCAGTTGGGGGCGATCATTGTTATCTATACCCCAACTGAGTAATTTGAGGGTAATCTTTCAAATTTAACAAATGTGGACCATGACGCCGACACACAATGGCCTACCCTTGCGAATTTCTTCGCGAGATCTTATAGTCCACTGCGAAGCAGACGACGCTTATTTTTATGCTTAAGAAACATGCAGTATTGACCAGGGTGGCCACTGGATTTGAAACTTGAATCCTCGACAATGGCAGCCAAAGGAATGAACGTGCCAAAGAGGACGTGCACTGCAGATATGGAGCAATGAAATTAGCCCGTGTTCTGAATCTAGATGGATTATTGCATTGTGAGGTGGCCATGTCAGATGATGATGGCTTGGGGAGGCCTTCATGCAACAGTGACTAGGTCATAGCTGCTGATGTTAATTCTTTAACAAATCCATATTTGATTACCATGATTACATTTAGTTTATGGGCATGTGTGGTAAGTACTCTGAACAATAATAAATGGTGTCCTTAGTTCTATCAGTGTTGTTTATGTGAGCTGCTAAAGTTTAAGTTTAGGCGTTGCGAAGGCACAGAAACAAAGGCAGGGATTGTATTTTATTTGTTTTGTTTGGAAGCAGGGCCCCTCTGATGGGCGTGTGTGCTGATGGCTTTGTCCAATGACAGATTGCCACTTGCCAAACAATTGAAAACTACCTCCTTCGGGAATACATTCATGCACAGTACTTGTGAAATATTGTACAAATTGAAAACAAGTTTCTGTATATAAATTGACATGAACAATACCACCATTTGGTTAATAATCCCCAAAACTGATAATTTATTATAGAAACGATAAAGTACTGAGCTTTTAATTGTCTCTTTAACCACGTTGTTTAGTTCATTATCTGATTCTGTATTGATGAGCTGTATAGTAAATACAAGTTTAAAATTTTTAAAAGCTCTGAATATTTATTTTTGCAATTAAAAAAAAACTATTGGTGCCAATTAATGCAGTTTCTTGTGCCGACTGTAGCTGCCTTACATATCTGTAATGAGATTTCAGGTTTAGTCGTGTTATGAGATCACTTGTGCTCCTTATCATAAACATTGTAAACGTTTATACTGTATATCTATATTAAGCTGAATAAATGCATTTATAATGGTAGCACATTCGTATTTTTAAAAGTTAGGACTCATGTTCACATTATAATGTACCTATTTACCCAGAAAAACCACATTGAGTCAAGATACTTTTTCAGGAGGGTTATGCATTGGGATGTTTGGCCAACGTCAACAACATTGTATATTTTTACCATTGGGAGGAAACTTGAAATGCGTACAAAACAGGGGGAGAACCTGCAAATTCCACGCAGAAATGTGCCCGGGTCAGCAATGAAACCCGGCCCTTCCAGCTGTGATGCACAAGTATTACTGCTGTGCCACTCTGCTGCCCCATATTACAACTCAAAGTTCAAAGTGCTGGTTCTTGACTCATGAGGCTAAATATGATCACACATCAAGTCTTATGAAATGCTTATAATACTGTATACAGTGCTGTGTTTGAGAATAGCGGGTAGTACAATGGAATATAAAGTTGCCGAGGTGGGGCCGTTTTTGAGCTCGTGAGAACCTTCCATTCTTTGTGTTAAAGTAGAGAAAACATGTTATTCTCCCAAAGGTTTTATAGTTAATACTTTGCTGGCCCACACCTCCTGTACGAATGCCAAGAGCTGAGATAATGTTAGTAGTGCGTCTATTGAACTCGATCAGGTAGCGCTAGTGGGGGGTGGAACAAAGCTACAGTAAGGCAAATGACCAGCATTCCCGCTATTCAGTCAAACCACACGGACGCATCGGTTTCCAAGCTAAAGGGTGCGGTTAATGTTGGTATAATTAAGGGCCGGCTTGTGCTCCTCTCAAATGGGGGGGGGGGGGGGGGGCAGTAGAGCGGTTGTGTAGGGGGGCACCATAACAGTGATTCGCACTTCTCAAGAGAGTGAACTTGGCTGGGCCAAAGGGACATTATTTTGGCGGTGTAGAGCCCAAGCCGGCCTGCAATCCTCTCGCCTCGGCCATGCTATAGCTTTGTTTTTTTCCAGCCACCGTTGGCTCCTCGACTTAACGTAATTCTTCTTCCATTATGGTTGCTGCAGAATGGTATATGTCTACGGTGCTTTGATTAGTTATTGTATGTTGAATCTATCATTCGTATATGACTATAGTTATGTTTGTATACACATTATGAAGTGCAGGATGTTGCACATGCATCTGTCTTTTTCGCCATGTTTATTCCAAACGTGCTCTTGGCATCATTTGAAGTAGGACAAGTCTGTATGGTAGAGAATGGCCTACGAAAGGAGGTGTCATACTTTTCGAACAGGGCACAAAAATGTATAAAAAGCACGTGGCCTTTGTGCAATAATCAGCATTTCCTGAAGAGGTGCATTGTGATCCCCTTGTCTTAAATCACCATCTGAATAAAGTTGAGCAATGGGACCAACTAACAGCTGCAGTGATGCAGTGATAAACAACTGTGGACCGGTTTTCATCATGATTATTGCTCATCAGCATAGTCACCAATGCTCACTTCTCCAATGTCTGCCTCTGTAGTATTGAGCATTGGTTACTAAACTGATGGTGATCTAAGACGAGGACCACAATTAATGTACTCTGGAATGTTGGATAAACCGTATGGGTTGACAGGTATGGATGACTGTAAGCTGGACTTGAACTCGGGATCACGCAAATGCTGGTTTTGTGCTGTGACTCCATATCAACAAAGCCACCTCATGTACACTCGTTCATATACGTGGAGTGTTTGATGTTAATGCGTGAACACGGTGCAAAAGTATGTGCGCTGCATTGCTCTAATAACGAGAGAGCACCTCAAGTACGTTCCTGTTTGTTTCCTACATTCGCCAGGTGTTCAGCACCTTCTCGAATGAGGAGTATGACCGCCGCAACGAGGATGTGGACCCAGTGGCGGCATCGGCTGAGTACGAGCTGGAGAAGCGTGTGGAGCGCATGGAGCTGCTGGATGTGGAAATGGAGAAAGGTGTGCACGAGGGCCTGACCGGAAGGCTCAACCCTCTAGAAATATACACACTGCTCAAGTGATCTCCCGCTGCTCAAATGAGCATTGAGATGGTGCTCGTCTCCCGTTTACAGCCCTGAGCTAGTAGTGGAAATTACATATTATTATGGTGGGAGTGAGTCTATCAGTAGGACATCGACTGTTGACTTTCCCACAAAGTGGTACTGATTTTATCGACCCAGTAGGGAAGATAGGGTGAATCAACACCCAACCAAGATTGGAACTGGCAATTTTACGATTGCGAGCCCCTCACTCGACCACTGAGCCTAATAGTCTTGTCACAAACTGCATTTACTGGGTTTTATAGTGACCTAAAGTGCAAGTATCTATTTAAAAAAAAACACTTAATATTATTAGCCTGAACAAGAGGTGATTAGTTGTATGTTCAGGCACGTAGCGTATCTGAATTGTTTGTCCATGCAGGTTGGCGTTAAAAGTGGCATGTGACCGTGTATGTGCAGAACCCCCAGGGTTGGGCAGCATCACACCGTGCATGCGCTGCAGACAGCAGACATCACACTGTCCGGGATACTGCACCACAATAACAACCATTTGTTCGATCACAGCGAACTTAACATTACCCACTGCTGCTTTTCTGCAGTGCTTTGCTCCAGGTGAATATATTGCATGTAATACAGTCTTGGCAGGAGTTTCATTAAAATAATTGTGTCTTTAGTAATGACATACCACCAAGAACATGCATGTGATAACAAGCCATGCAATTAATGGTGTGACATTTCTAAAAAGTAACTCATTTAAAAATCAGTGGCGCTAATACCATATATTATGGGAAGTAATTTTTAGTTTTGTGTCCTCACCTGTTTCATTAATAACTAAACCAAACGTTAGGTGCAGGTCTCAGCTGAAAACAGGATTCAAGTTAAGCTGTGACTGAGATATTGCCATGAAGAAAATGATTATATTCCATTCACACACTTAGAAAAGAATGTGATTTAAAAACATTGCGTTTGCATTTTTTTTAATCCAAGTGATTACAGTACATGCATTCGGAAAAAAATACTTTTTTTGTGAAAGGCATTCACGATGTTTTCCTGAGGTTTTTAGGACATCAGGAAGACATGCTGCCATGGTGTAATGGTTAGCTCACTGGACTTTTTTACCAGAGGTCAATGGTTCTATCTCCCTAGTGTGGCAGTTGAAACAATGGAATGTTTCTAAAATACCCCCTTCCACTGTCCAGTCATCTACACAAACACTACAGTTAGTTGATCAGCAGGTTACGTGCTGGGGGTTAAAGTGTCGTAAAATACTCCCACTTCTTCCAAGATGTCTAACCAGCTTGCAAGAGTAGGCCAAAATACCTTTTAAAGGGGTTCTCTAGATGTCCCTCTAGTGGAAGCCCTTCCACCAGCAGTGTCAGGAGTAATAATTGTAGGGCTGCCCCTTTACTTCACAGTAATGGTGCCACTTGCTGTGTGTTCCTGCTGCTGCTGCTGCTGCTAGGTGACGAGGGGCTGGGGCTGAGCATCATCGGCATGGGCGTGGGGGCCGATGCGGGCCTCGAAAAGCTGGGCATATTCATCAAGACCATCACCGAGGGTGGAGCCGCACACAGGGATGGCAGGTGCGGCCCCGTCACACTGTGTGCTTTCCTGTGCCATTGTCTTTGGCGTTTTCTTAAGGTTGGTCTGACTCCTAAAATACAATATATGAGTTATGTGTTAAATAAAAAAAATATTAATGAAGGTATTGTTTTCGTTTATGTAACTTAATACATCAAATCAGCTTTTGGTGTGCTATATTTATATTCCGTAAGAATTGGGAGTGGGAAGTGAATGCTTGTGTTGATGAAACGTTTCTTGAAAAGGATCAATGTTATTTTTTTTTTACAAACAATTGTGCACTGGGTTACTATGCTGCAATTCTTCCAATGTGGTCCATTGAGCAGGATTCAGGTGAACGACCAGATCGTAGAGGTGGATGGGATCAGCTTGGTCGGTGTTACCCAAACGTTTGCTGCCACTGTGCTCAAAAACACCCAAGGCGTTGTGAGGTGGGTGACTACGAGCTGTAATACCGCTCCTTCACCCCGTGAAACAAGGCTAACGGTTTAATCACCGTTCAAAGGATGTTGGCAGGCATTGCACGTTATTGCTTTTGCGCAGTGGGGTTTATACGTGTATTTGTGTCTCAAAAAAAAACCTGTTCTTTTTGTTGTACAAAATAGGAAGAAACTTTAACTTTCAATTCTCAGACAAGTTTAAATGACTTTTATTTGGCAAGAGCAAGCCTGTTGTATACTTGTCAATCAATTAAAACGCACCACATCCATATCAAAGCCAGATGAGTCACAGGATTGAAACATGTCAGAAAAGGTAGCATGTAAAGTGCAACTTTATACACGGGAGTTGTTCTAAGCAAGGGATAGAGTAAATATTCACACACAAATAATAATGTATTGTTGAAAACCAACATGATTGAAGCTGATATTACAATGTATTGATACATATTTTTTATGGACTCATAACTAGAATACATATGATAATCTGATTTGTCTGTACACTCACTTCTGTTGATAATCTTGCCCTTATAGTGCATTGCAAAATCATAATCTGTTTTAATCCCTCTTCCATTGATTATCTGTAAGGTACTGTGTGCATATCTTACACAAACAGCAAAGATGATCAGGGCCCCAACCACTGCTTATAGCTTACTTCACTGGCGAACAAAACAGCGGGCTCACCGGTGGCGATGGCCCCGTGCGTGGACAACACTCGACCCCGTGGGATCGTGCAGGTTCCGAATTGGGCGTGAGCGGCCGGGCCAAGAGAGCGAGGTGGCGCGGCTCATCAGCCAGACGCTGGAGCAGGAGCGGCGGCAGAGGGAGCTCCTGGAGCAGCAGTACACCCGCTACCACGATGACGATGATGACGATGATGATGATGATGAGGAGGTAACGGCACGTCGGCCTACTTTGGCATGCTAGCGAGATCGTTTTGTTTGTTCCTTTGTTTAATAAGCAAAAAGCGATTTATGCCAATGCTTTTGTTTTCAGAATGAGATTTTCCGCGCTTATTTAATTATTTGTTTGACAATTATGTTATCGCTAAATTAAATGCCAAGTTGAAAGGTGTCTTAGAGTTAATTCATGTTTGCCATAACACATTCCAGAAACATTTGGCTTAATAACGCACAATTTATCGCCATTTTCTGCCAATTCAGTCTTTTTGTTCAGATAAAAATATACGACTTTCTTTTTTCCCCAGCACATGAATCAGGCCCTGTTTATATCACTGCACATGAGACGATACCTATGTACGTGCATGTTTTGTCACAGTCAAAGTATTACACGTGTTTTGCTGTGGTTTTACATTTCAACGTGTTGTGTAATGTTTCCCTTGGTGCAGCTTGTCAGTGGTCACCCCCCCCCCCCCCATGCATGCCAGGCTTATTCCTTCACCCCAAAATCCCCAGCCATTGTTTTTTTTCCACTGCATAGACTCACGTGTGGCTCAACCGCCTCTTACCCAATTGCCCGAAGGGAAAGACATTAGACTATGGCTCACCTGATGCCAAGCGTGACGGCAGGTAGACTAACGGCGGAGCCAGCAAGCAGGTTTGTGTGATGCAAGCTGAGTGTTGTAGATACAACATACCATACATCATAGGTACGGTCGATTTCTAAAATAACGCCTTGAAATGTTTTAAATTATTATCAGATTATTTGAACTCTTCATTGTGAGCTTTAAGCCTGGTGCATACTGCACGTATGGGCTCAATGCACAGTAATAAATGTAGGAAGCATTTGAGTCATCGCTAGAATGATAATCCTGTTTGTGGTTTCGGTGTGCAGTGTTACCACTGTCATGCACCTTTCAGGTATTTGCTTGAGAATGTATTTTAACTGTGCTCTACGCCTTTTCCTCCTCGTAAGTCGTTTTTCACTCTGCATGCTTTATTTTCCTTTGTGCACATCGAACCAGCTTTCCTTTCCCATTAACCCCTGTGTGTTCTCGTCCTATTTTGCAACACAGTGGCACAATCACCTTTCAACGGCGCAAAACTCGCACGTTATGATACGGCATCGTTATGAGCGCTGCGTGTCTGCTGTGAGAGAGGTGTCGCGTTGGAAAGTGGCCACCGGTGAGGAGGGACTGTGGCACCCACAGCCCCATGGAATGAACGGTGTGTGGGTGCAGACGGGCGAGTATGCCACGGACGAGGAAGACGACGGGTCGCACGTGGGACGGCTGCCCATGGAGGTATTCGAGCTAGCCGAGGGAGAGGACGGGGACATGTTCTCCACCACGAACACGGAGGACAGACAGCTTGCTCATAGATTCCAGGAGGTGAGTGCCAATGTCAGATAACCCCACGGTCCCAGTTGTCCTTACAGGCACCTCGCTCTTCCAGTGCCAAGTGAGTGCATTCGGCATGCAATAACGTTTACAGGCAGACGACGCATTGGAAATACGGTGCTGCTGACATTTTACAATCTCTTAAATTATTTCACGTACATTTTTCCAACCGTGTAATATTCATTTCGCATATGCTTGGTTTGAATAAAGCATAATACAGTGAATAATTTTAAAGTATGACAATGAGATTGTGAGTAGAGCAGTATTCACGGGTGTGCAAGAGCAAAACTATAAAAGTGTGCGAGAGATAGGGGCTCAGGAGGAGATCTTAGAGTGATAAAATCATTTTAATTCATGTTTGCAAGGTACTTGTCTGCAGATATCATGTTCAGCTTGTAGACTGATATCTGCAAGTCACACAGTCATGAATTATTCAAATACGCCAGCTGCCTGAAACCTGAACTGATTTTCACCCACTGGCAGTATTGTGCTGTTGTGTCACCGTAAAGTAATGCACTAATAATGAACCCTCAGGGCACTCTGCATTGCATTTTACTTTAACTGCTATTGTACACTGTGATGGTAATTGTAAAGATATACCGTGATTCCTTTGACAACTGCCCCGAGGTTTAAAGAGAGACTGCAGCTGAAAAATGATGCTGATTTGTATTTGGTTTGCTATCGCGTGGCGCCGAAATTGATGAGCATCGTCTGTAAAGCTGCAGATTACTGCTTTACACACGCCGAGTGAATGGAGACCCGGTGAGAGGTTGTGTTCTCAGCCGTTAATATTGCGCTACATGAATCGTTTGTGTAACACACAAACAAAAGACAACCTTTTAAAATCCAGTTCACATTTCTACTTATTTTTGGATTTACGTTATTGTGCGCTCGTGCTTATTTATTTAATTTCTGTTTTTTTTTCTCTCTCTCTCAGCTGAGAATAAAGCATGCTGTGACTGAGGCCGAGATCTTAAAATTGAAGAAGGAGGTGGGTGTTCTTCTTTAAATTGCATGAGAATTGGTCAATCGTTGAGGATAAGTGTTGATTTATGCTTTTATTGCTTGTTTTGTTTGTACATTACAATGGTCTATTGTATTTTTGTGGTTTGTAGAACATGTTAACATTTATTCTTGCACTTGATCCAAAAGCGATATAAAATACCATGCTAGTTTTATGCTATTGCGTCATGTTTCATTATAAGATGTGTGTTTTTTTAGGTTTTTTTTAGTTTTAGTTTATTTATTTTGGTATAGCCCTGTGAGCCATTCGGCTCTTGAATTGGGTGCGACCACAACAAACAAAAAAACAAAAACACGAACAAGAAAACATCTTAAAGTGATTATGTGACTCTGCAAACAGAAAATCCATGAAAAAAACAGCAAAATATTCCCGAAAATCACCGTACACCAACGCTGTGTGCAAAAAATCCCAGTGGGATGCAAGTCAGACAACAACCACAAGAAAACTTAGATTAAGGCCGTCAGTCTAACTCCGTACTACAACAAAACAAACATGTCCAAACCAAAAAACTTTTCGAAATCACCAAAAACTAAAGCCATAATTGCAACGTAACAGTGATCATAGGGACTGTGACCGAATTTTTTACAATAAACTACATAAATAACATGTAACACCAAATCCTAGAGCCATAGCTGGCTGCATGAGTTACTCCACAACAACAGAAGCATCAGTCGGAATATCAAATTTTTCAATGCACCTTTAAAATCAGCACGCTAAATCAAAATACAGATAATACTTTGCAGCGTCATCCGGAGCGAAACATTTGATTTAATTTGGAATATACTGGACGTGATTTACTTGTGTGTGCAGATCTAGAATTATAATTTTATTACGATTGGTCACTCTTGAAAATGAGACTCATCATGGTCTGTTGAGTTCTTACCTGCTTAAATCATATCAAATAAACATGAACTTGAAATGTGGCCACAGAATAGGACTCCACAGAATACATTCTGAGGTCACATAAACATGACTAAGTATTTCAATGATGCTAAAGTTAACGCAGAGTCTGATTTCGCCGACTGAATATGTTGGCAGGCCCGCATCCTTAAGACATCCTCTGCGTTCGTACCCGAGTGCTTTCTGCAGCTTGACCAGTGGGACAGGGTTGCCGGTTGACAAGAGTAGGTCCACGCGTCTCGCCATAAAACGCTCGTTCCGTCCGTGCCAGTTGGTCTTCAGTGAGCAGGAGAGGCAACGCTGGGAGCTGGAACGGCTCCAGCTGCAGCAGAGCATGGAGGAGAATGCTGAGCGCATGAGCAAGCTGGAGGGATACTGGCTGGAGGCGCAGACGCTGTGTCAGAGTGTCAACGAGCACCTCAAAGAGAGCCAAGCCCAACACCAGGCCCTGGAGAAGAAATATAACAAAGCCAAGAAGCTGATAAAGGATTATCAGCAAAAGTGAGTTTACTCGAGTCAAGCTGTTTTTGGAATCTTATTTATGGAAAATATGGTTACATTCTGATTCACTTATTCTTTTTTATTCACTTTATTTTTATTATTTTATTGTTATTTTTTCTATCTACGTGACATTACCGAAATAACCATAGAATATTCATACTGTAGTTGTAATAATAATAATAATACTCCCATTTATTTATAGAAATCCTCACTGAGTTCCAAGACTCTTTTTTTAGGATAGTCCTGGATTGTGATGTTTGGTCAATTCCATTATGGAGTGTTTTGCACGTGTTAGAAAACCCACAGATTCCAGGGGATAATATTCAAATATCAGCGCACATTCACTTCATTGCTATACTGCCATCTCCTGGTCAGCTCGTGCGTGTCATTGTCTTCAATGCAATCTGAAGCATGTTTGTGGTGTCCATCCTAGAGAATCGGACCTGCTCAAGCGTGAAGAGGCTCAGGCAAAAAAGCTCACCGAGGTGGAACAAGGCTACGTGAAGAAAGTGGAGACACTTCAGAACAGAGTAGGCACTTTAACTTCTCCCCCAATCACGGTTAAAAACAAAGGCACAACTCGCAGCTTGACTGCTGACTGGGGCATGTTTGACAACGACCGCAGATACTAGAGCTGGAGCGGGAGCTGATGAGGCGCGGTTCCAGCGACTCCGGGCTGCTGCTGCTGCTGGGGCTCGACGGGTCATCAGGGAGCACGGAGCCCATGGAGCTGTGTCGTGAGCATTCCGTGGCAGCGTGGTCCGGGCCCTCCTCCGGAGAAAGCTCAGCAGCAGGACCCGGGGTTTCCGCACCTTTGACAGCACAAGGGGGCATCACGGCCAGTGGTGATGATGCCTCTGAAGGTAGGCAAGCGTTTTAGATTCAGACAGTCCCAAGTCAGTAGCGTTCTGAGGGAGTAACAGTTGCAGACGGTTTGTAGGAAGCACTAGCATCTGACCACCACAGCACAAAGCAAGCAGCTCCTAATACTCACAACAGAACTGAAGCGCTTGCATTCTGTTTTAACTTTTAATGAACAAGTAAACGTAGTCTATTTTGACAGGTGTCGTTTTTTAGATCATATCTTTTCCGTCCCGCTGGAACTATCACAAGGTGAGCGTTACGCCTATTGCTGTCAGTCTCCTGTCACAGGTAGAGCATCTGTCTCAAAGCTTCACAAACATTGTAACTTGTGAGAGAGATTAATGTGCCTGCTGAACAAAGTGAACTTCTCAAACAAAGCGGATTTGTTTTAATGAACATTCCGTTTTTATTTTTATGCTAGCTTCTAAATGGGAGATATTTCATGTTTTGTAGATCACAGTGGCCCTAGCCGGATGCTTACAGAGTAGATGTAATTTAATGGTAAGCATTTCGGTTTTAAATTTTACTTGTGCCAGCATCGTGGCACAAGCCTGCACTTCTGTGGAACTCGCTAACATCCCTACCTTATGCAGTAGCCCGAATTGTCTGGCATTTTCAGTGTTATGATGTAATTTACTTGAGTGTTACATTGGCATGCGAACATTGTGCAGTCACTATACTCCATTTGATCGCACATTGCAAGGTTGTTTAAAAAAAGTCATTCTGTTACGTTTAGGCAATGGTGTACATTGATGAAGAAAACATACGTTCAGTATTTAAATATATTTTCGTGTACATTTACAGTATGTGGTGATTATTTGTGATATGCACAGTTTTAATTGCTGCAGCTGAAATAAGCTATTTCAGTGTTGATGTCATTTGATAGCCTCAGATGTAGCTCCTCCTGTGGTTTCCATAAAAGTGGGTCTGTATGAATGAAGAAATGACAATAAAAGTGGTATTTTTACTGTGGGTCATTTTGGTAGCTTACTTTCCCTTATACACCACATAAATTGTGTACATGCGCCCCACATGTTAAAAAATACATTAATATTTTGGTCATATCAAAGTACATAATTTTTTTGGAAATAACATATTAAGAAAATATGTTTTTTTATAAAAGCCAACGTAATAACAATAATAATACTATTTGGGCACATGCATGTTCTGAAAAAGGATTATCACTTTACAATTATTATCTGTTTCCAGTCATGTGCCAACAACACATGTTACTCAGCGGATTGCCTCATGCGCAAATCCTGAATTTCAGTGAGCGTTAAATGAATAGTAAATGTGTTTTTGTTGAAGCATACTGCAAATAGCTTACCTGTGAAATTGTAAGCATTTAAGTATTTCACAAAATTGTGAACTACAAGTTGTCGGAGAAACTTTCAGTTCAGAAACTTTGAGGGCAAGCACAAATGTTGCACTAACTACTAATATACAGACTCATCATTTTGTTTCACCTTACAATGACTTTTGGATGAGAAAGGTTGTCCAAAATGTTTCCTTTCATTCCCTCTGAATGGGTTTTCCCCGATAGGATTATTTTCATTCCATTACATTTTACATGGAAGCAAGCATTGCTTAAAGTAAATTATACATTCAATATAAATAATTATCTTTGCCTGTAGGCTTCATTCAAATGCAGATGCATTAAATGTTTTTCCCTAAATTAAAGGGGCATGCAAATTTATATTAATTCGATTTATATAGCCTGAAAATCATTGCTGTTCATAACTGTATGGAAAGATTATTTTTTAAAAACATAACCTTTTAATCTAAATTTAGTACGATGAGATGTCATTCAATGTATAATATTTTACAAAATTGCGTGTAATCTGTTTATTGTTTAAAAAAAATGGCTAAAGGAAGACAATGATTAAGACACTGCCTGACAAGTTTTAGACTGACATCAATGTGTGGTGGAACAGACTAAATGCTTCAATTTTCATAGTTTCCATTTTATATGGAACATGTAGTGTGCTGGTTATCACTGCTCACCCGTGTTTAAATAATTTGTGAGCACTACGGTGACCTTTAAATAAATGTGTTACATTACAGTAAAATGTTGGTAAATAGTTAATTTGCTCAACATCCCCAGAATGTGACTACAAACATTTGGGGCCCATTCGTTGCCTAAATGGCTCCCACCCTGTGCTGGATTTCACATATGAAAAGTTAATTAATGTTACAAAAGGTATGATTGCAGATCAACCTAATTACTATTTAAATTGCATGGTTTAAAAAAAAGGATGATTTTAGGTATGGGGGCCTCGGTTTTAAGAAAGGCACCTTTGAAGAAATAAAATCTGATTCATTGATTTATACCGAGAGATTGACAGTGTTGCTGGGTTTGTTAACGCAAGCCGTAAAGCCATCGGACAGAAGGTCACACAGTGATGTAGTGTTTTGTTTGTGAAGGGGCTGACATCTGCACTGCACAAGTGAATTACCATACGCTAATGCAATGTTATATTTATTGTAATGATTTTTTCTCCAAAGCATCATACAATTACACCATAAGATTAAATGACACATTCAACTATCCTTTTAACTTCATTCAACACATGGAGTTTCAGTGTATGTATTTTCCTGAATTTACATACTAACATACTATTAACAACGCTTTGAAAGTTAATATTTAAATCAAATTATCGACTTAACATGCAGTCAAATCTGTGCAGTAAACCTTAAAAAAAGAATCCGTTTGTCATGCGGTGCGCCTTTTATGGTCAAATAATCCAGTAGAAACAAATTAACTCTACCTATAGATGTAGAAAGTCATTGTGAGGGCTTAATTTATATAATCCCGTTGTCAGGGGCTATTGCTGCACTCTCATTGTGAGGGCCTGATGCTACACTCTCACGTTCACGACCAGGGAGGCAACGCCCTTGTCCTGGTCCTGGCGGAGGCTGCTTTAATGCCGGCCGTGGGGAGCAATAAATCCACGGCCTCTCCCCTTGCATCTTATCATGCTCCGCTTCATGGAGATTAACTATTCCAATGTCTAAATTATTGTTCATATGAAAGCATTACCTGATATTTTTGTAATTTATGAAATGTAGCGGGTTTTTTTTTTTTACAAAGTAAAAATTATACTCGATTTCCTTTCCCTGTATTTTCAATGAAAATGTATAGATTGAAAATGTGTCACATCTTATAATATGGCTGTTACACTACATTTTACTGCTATGTGCATCAAGGATACTTAGTTAAAAACCCGATACCAACACAGATATCTAAATAAACAATTGAATGAGGATAAAAAAACCCGTAATTAACCCTACAATCATTCTATATTCCCGAGTGCCTTGCATTTAATTCCAGCATGGTTAGGCTGTAGCGCTGAGCACTGCTTCTGACTTGCAAGGGGTTAAGGCCCCGTGATGAAGGAAGCCAATCGTGAGGCAGAGCCATTGTTGGCCGGACAGTGGGCCGGCCGTGCGTGGCCGCCGCTCTTCGGCACACACGCTGCCCGGTGCTCTCGGCATGGCGATGTTGTCGTTCTTCCGCTCGAAAGTGCGTGGCAAAAGGGACTCCACTGCTAAGCCGAAGTCCACGAACCCTTGCTCGAAAGAGAAGGCCGTTAGCGGTAAGGTTGGTGAGCATGCTGTGGCCACGCGGTCCTGTGGGAAGAGCTAGCGAGGGGTCCCCGTGGCTCTCGTCGCACATCCTGTTCGCTCGTTTCGAGGCTCTCGTGTTGTACCTCCACGGCTTGTCATCGCCATGTCGCTTGTGGCATCTGGGTGTTTTGTTTCGGTGTAACTGTGAGGCTTGTGCTTCGAGCATTTCAGTTTCAGGCAGGGCTCTGTCATGATGGGGACTCTGCCCAAAGAACGGTTACTTTGGATCAGAGATCGGTCCGGAAGGGAAGTAATCAATCCTGTGCTCCCAAGAGGAAAGCTAATGGTTTTTCTTTCCATCTTTGATGAATTAAAAGGCACTTAGCTCCAAAAATGACCAAGAGCCATGTACCTCATGAAAGATATACTGCATGTTGTTGTCATTGCTACTGTGCTGAGCATTAGATGGTTTAATTGAATCCAGCTTCTATGCATTGAAATATTATTTGCTTTTCATAACTGTGTGCTTTTGTTGTTTGTTTCCATGTATATTCATATCATTTACAGAGTAATACTATTGCATATTGGTAATGGGATTTCATTCTGTGGCATTAAGCAGTAACTTATTCTCCAACAGCTGTGTATAAATAGGTTGAAAACTGACGTTCCTATTTGCTTTTTACAGGCACTCCTGCGGAGAGCTCTTTGGAGGACAAGCGCAAAAGTTTGAGCGATGATCTGGAAGATGTGTTTGGTAAGCGGAGCTTTTGTGATTAATTTATGATGAAATACATTAAACAATGATCGTTTTGTCATGGGACTATCTCAAAAATAATTTCCCGATTGTCAAAGCAACTTGGAGTGTAAAGCATTACATTATATCTGCTTATCAGCATTCCTGCTGGTTGTATCGTGAAAATAATTGAAATGATATACAGTGACTGATGTTGTGCTTTGTTACGATGCATCATTCAAGCTGAGCATCTCATTGAAGTAAATAAATAACCCTTGCTGGCAGGCCACACACTTGTAGACAGCTTTATGGCTGCATGAATATTTAGCATCACAAATTGCTTCCTAGCTTAAAAGCTCTTGCCTGAACAAGTGAGCTATGAGCCATGTTATTGCACGCACTTGTGTTAGGTTTTAAGTGATTGCAAATAGACGATCGAAAGAGTATTTGGATTTGAAACTATTTCCATTTAAAATGCCTTCCACGGTGATGCAGTATTAAAATATTATTTCAGAAAGTACAGCTAAATTGTGCTCTTTGAGTGAAACATTATACTCTTAAAGTGCTAATCACAAGTTAGGTGACAGTACTCAGCTCATTTAGTCAGCTCATTTCATTTATACATGGGTAAAAGCGCATTAAGAAGACACGCTTTCATTTGCAAGGGAGAAGAAGATGAATATGAGATAATACAATTATAGTTTACAAACGTAGTGCATAGGAAAACAGTGTAAAATAATATGAGGGTGTATAAATATTTAAAACGAGGTGCTGTGCAGAGCATTTAAAACATTTCAAAAGTAAAACAATGTGAAGTGGACTAATATAAAAGCAACCTCTGTTTATCGTAATATCAGCCACAATTTGCCAACATCAAATGTAAATAAACGATCCTGCTACAGTTTCCTGCATTGTATGGGAGACAAAGTTAGGGGAGGGTCCTGATTGACAGCGAGACTGAGGGCTCTAGTGCTTCTCTGCATCGCGGCAAAAGCCGTCCCCCAAGGGAACGGCGTTTTAATGAGAATACTCTGGGCACAACACAGATGATAATTATAAAATATACATTCATGATTGCCAGTTCCCGATTCACTCGACGAACACAAACTTAGGCGGATTCACGATAAATGACAATGCTTTATGATTGCAATTCTACTCTCATTAATGATTTATACTCAGGTGGCATTTGACAAGGCAGCAATTAGTAAATTAACGGAATACAAACGATAAGGACTAATTAATTAAATAATCAACGAAGAGATTAGAAACATCACATTTTGTATTTGTGCTGGTATCACAAAAAATGCCATCATCACTGAAGTACAGTGCTGGCCGGAATGACTGTGTGGTCATCATCACACCGAAGAATTCCACTTGTGCGAGTGTAGGGAGTGATAGAGAGATATTGTGCACCGGTGCTGGAGGAGAATGACACGTCCGTGTGGCTGCTGTACCCACAGATTTCTCAGAAGTGATTCCTGAAACAGAGCGCCTGGACTCGAGCGCGCAGAAGGCGCGCGCGCAACTGAGCAGCTGTGCGCGCCGCCAGCGCCCATCCTGGTCCCACATCCGCGATAGCCTGGGCTCTACTGACGGGGAGGACACCTTCGAGTCCACCGTGAGCCCTGCACCCTTCACCTTTCGCAAGAACGGGCCGGAGCAAGCTAACACAAACAAGACACGTTTAAGGAATGACGGCGGTAAAGCCAAAGTATTGCCCGCTCAAGTGAGCACTGGCCACTGTTAGTTTCTGCTGGTGGCCTTAAGTCAGCAGTGGAAATTCTACATTCCTATAGGGTACCAAATCAACAAATAATTACAATAAATCCACAGTGTGGAATTCCCAAAAAGTCGTGTTTGTTTTATCGACTGTGAAACTATGGTGGGCCAAGTTGACTACCAACCGGGGTTTGAACTCACATCCCTCTGAATATGAATTGAGCATTCTGCCACAGAGCCACTTGGGCGGATATCTGTTGCTGTCATCCAATAATGAGGTAAAATATTACTGTTTTTGTCTTGTAAGTATATTTTTTATTGCTTGTATCTGAGACACCCTGGCATATTGCGTGTTGAATATGTGCATACAAAATAATCATTAATATCATTATCACTGAAGCAATTGTTTGTATACATGCAAGATAAGATACAATTGTGGCTTTCGCTTATAGATGTTTGGGAAAATGAAGTATTGACTTTTACATAACATTTGTGGAACTGGTGCTATAGATTTGAGTAATATGTGTCAGGCTGGAGTCTCTTGGCCATGCCAACTAATTTCTTTAGAACTGCTTTTTGTGTTTAGTTTGTTGCCCTTCCCCTGCTCTTCCGATTAGCATGGTTGGCTACGTATGGTGTGAAAGAAGTTCAACATACATATATTGTTTAGTTTGGTGTCCTTTCCCCGCACCTCGCATTAGCATGGCTGGCGATGTACGGTGCAAAAGAAGTTCAACATACATGCTGCTCCCTTCCCAGCTCATACGAATCCGCTCGTCCGCTTTGTTCCCTGTGCTTCATGATGCCAGCAGGGCAGGGAGGAGGAATGCAGCTCACGGCGAGTGACTTTGAAATCCACTTCGTCCCTGGGCGGGTCCTCCTCTCCGGGCCCTGTGCCGAGCGAACGAATCCCGGGCAGGAGCCGCAGCCCATCCTTGGCCACGTCGTCATCGCCCTCGTGCTCGCCCCGCACTCCGCCACGTGGCCACCGCATTCGGGACAGGCCATTGCCAGGGATGAGCGGTATCTCAATCACATGCAGTAAAATAAATGTAACAATTTAATTTTGTAATGTGTGACTGCTATCTAATTTATGCGCCTGAAAGTAATTTGTAGGTGAATTACATGACGGTTAATTTGTAATTTATATCTGTGTAACATGCCAGTCATATGTAATTTCAATATGTTTTGCCCATTTCTGTAGCCATTGCTTCACAAGCTAAACACGTGACTACAAGACAAACTACTACGACGGTTTCTTAAACGTTCCTTAAACCAGGCCTGAGTGGGTGATGTTATCCACTGGCCGGATAAAAAATATATATTAAATTCCCTGAATCTTCTACATCTATACACCCTTTATAATTATATATATTTTTTATAGTGCATACGAATTGTATTGACCCCTCTGGGGACCCTTTGCGGATGATACACTCAGGACAACTTCATAGGGAAGTAAAAAGTGGTTGTCCTATGGAAGACTCACCCCTGTCAAAGGAATGTGGCACTCCCGCCAACTGCTTAGGGCTCTAAACAGGAGATGAGCACTGCCTCATTTGAATAAGAAATCACTTTGACATTTTGACTTTTACTTCTCTTGTAGTTTTGTTTTTTGTGAAATCGGTGTTCTACCTCCATGTGCTTACTGTGAAAAGCTTTATGAAGTAGTCCACCCTTCTTGCAGTGAGGCGAGGGAGCAGCCAGTCACCAGACTTGAGCAGCTCCTCCCCATCTTTATCAGGCAATCGCCCTCTTGGCGACAAAGTGAGGTAAGTGCTTCTCAACGTTTCATTTATCTCTCTGCCTCTGCTGGGAAGAACTGCTGGCAAAAGCTTCTCAAAATGCTGTGTCGTTTCCAGTGCTGCTCTGCAACGCTCCACCAGGAGAGACAAGAAAGTGGAAGATGAATCCAACAATGTGCTGGCACAAGATCAGTATGACGATTTCCAAAAGCATATCGCCAAAATTATCTTACACTGACCACTGACACACAGCACCTTGTGTCAAAGCTAGAATGTTGTCGTTGCTGTGGTTGGCAGGGCTGCTCAGGCGTCATTTGTGATCGGAGAGTCAGACGTTGATGGGAGTGAGGCGACGCTTGGAGCAAGGGTCACGGAGGGTCACGCTTTCACCACCCCGGAGAGCTCAGTGGAGCCCAGTCCCGTGAAAGCTCGAAACAAGGTGCAGCCGGGTTGCTCCATGCCACACACAGCGAACGCCTTCCTTCTCAAGTCCCAGTCAAATTGTATTAACCCAGCACGTATGACAGATCATGGGCACGTTTTGCTCAGACGGACACCACACTTGCCTGTTCTGCTGATTAAAGTGGTAACGCTGTCAGTTTTTAGACCCTTCTTCGTCATGCCGATTTTCATAATAAAATTGCATCGAAGATATATTTTAGAAAAATGTATGAAAGCGGAATGAATCGCTTTGGTAATCGACAGCACAATTCGGCATTGTTGAAAATTATGTAACACCCCAACTCATAATACTTTATACTTCAGACCTATTTACTATTACACATGTGGAATTTAACAAGGCTCTCATGAAGAATGTGCCCATTTAAGATACAGGGGAAAATATCTGTAATTTACATCTTTACATAACATATAATTTCAAACAACATACATCGTACACTGTTTTATTGATATTTTTGTTCATTTATTATTTATCCCCCCTCTTACCCTTGACACAGATTACCCTCTCCTGGCCATCGTTTTTCAACCGCTCGTTAGATTTGGTACAGTATTGCATCTACGCCAAGTTTTATTTACCCTATTTTATTTGCCTATCCTTTACTCTTTTGTTTCTTCATGGATTCGTAAAGTTTGTTATTTCCACGTATTGCTTTATCTAGAGATTGAACGAGAGGTTCTTACCGTGTTATTTTTTTTTACATAATATGTCTGTAAGCGTACGTCTTTTAGGGAGCGTCATCGCTGAGTAAATTGGCCCTTATACAGTATTCTTTTACTTCTGCGCCAATGAAGTATTGTAGTCTTATTTCCTGTGGAATTTGAAAAGCAACAGATGAGTTTATAATTTGTGTATGTTGCGTTTGGAAAACCATTCGAGAGTGCCTAGGGCGGCCACATTAGTTCCATTTGTACCTCTTGCAAAAGCTTGTGTGGGGCAATTATCAGTGATGCGAGTGATACGTTGCACTTCACCGCAGTCACAATTGAGCAATTCCTCAATGCCCCACTGATGGAGGAGGTAGCTGAACCTCCTATGTAGTTTTGTCAAAATGTTAAGTTGGATGCTGTGTATGCGCTGATGCCCGCCTGGATGTGTGTCTACCGTGTGTGCGCATGTGCAGCCCAACTTGTCGTTTGGGGATGAGGTGAGTCCAAGCAGCGCGAGTTCTAGCGAGCTCACAGGCTGGGTGGCAGAGCCGCGTTCCACGGGGCGCTCTCACACGCTCGTCTTCTCCTCCAATGAGGTGAGGCCCCAACCTTCTCCCTGCCCCCTGCCTCCCACCCCACACTCAGCCACTCCACAGAAGGGGGCACTACCCATGGGATGAATGAATGTGGATGCAAGGATGGAGAAAGGACATATTTAGTCAACTAATCGGCGTGTAGGCTTCTGGCCTGTGTGGTTTGAATTGTTATTGTATGCATGGGGTTTTTTTCCTGGGCAACCTGGTTTCCTCCCACATAAAAACACTCCTAAAGGAATTGACTAAACATCTCAAGTAGGCCATTCTCCTGTAAACAATTAAGAACCTTCTACTTTACTGGATGGTACAATATAAAAAATTATGTTGTTTTATCCAAAAACACTTTGTGTACTGATTAGCAGTGGTGTTCAATCCTAGACATCACAAAAAACCAGCAACCCAGATTTCCTTGTGAGCAGATGTTGGCACTTCTCTTAATTTCTAACCCAAGAATATTAATTACCTCAGAAATTTTGCAGGTACTGAGTCTCAAGGCCTGGGCTTGAACACCACTGCGACACACATTTGATCATTACATACTTTTCCTGAAATTGTAAATGCATGCAATGAGTTCCCATTGAAATAGCCAGGCTTGATGGTACACTGTGCCTGTCTCCCACATTGCTGCACTGTGCAGAGCTTGGACATGATTGATGATGAGGTGAGGCCGAATGAGCTTTTTACGTTATTAGTTTTGCTTAGACGATCCTTCATTCCATCAGCACCATTAGGCGTGTGAGGAGGTGGCTTTCAACAGCTTATTTTTAAAATCTGGCTTTGAGAACTTTACACATGCCTAGTCACGTCATACTTGTCAATCCCTACCAATCGAAGCGGTTGGCTCCCGATGTTTAAACCCTCGTACCGCATACTGATTTTCAAAGTAAAATTGCATCAAATGTTTTATTATAATAATTTTACAAAGCGACATGATTAACTTTGAACATCACCACGTGGCATGGGGGTTTACAAATCAGCAGCCTCACACTTATATTGGTGTGGTCGCCGAGCACGCAACGTGTCAATTCTTATCTTTTACACCTTCATTGGTTTTGCTGTAGTGTGTGCTCGACGCCGGTGCACCATGGCTCTGCGCTTCCTCTGCTGTGGCCGCTGTGCTCTCAATGGCGGCTCTCCTCGCTCCAGATCCTGGATGAGCAGAGCTCCCCCAGCCGGCGTGGCGGCGGGGGCAGTGCCACCGGGGCCGAGTCTCCGTCGCCGCAGCTGTGGCCCGTGGAGCGCGTCGCCGCGTGGCTCCGGGCTCTGGGCCTGGAGCAGCACGTGCCCGAGTTCACGGCGCACGGAGTCGACGGACGGCAGCTGCTGCAAGTCGACAGCTCCAAGCTCAAGGCGAGCAGAATGCAGAGGCCTTCCCGCCGCTTGTAACACGAGGCCCGTGGGGGGGGGGGGGGGCGGGGATGAGGTGGTGCCGTCCATCACACGGCCCTGAATTTGTCTACCAACTGGCTTCCCCGAGGGCACTTTTGCACCAATGACATATTTGTTATGGTTGTACTAGGAAGAGGCATGAACGCTGTTTCAAAAATACAGTGCTTAATAGTTGTGGAAGGACAAACATACGTGGAGTACAAGCATGTAAAGAAAATCACGACATTCGTCATTAACACTGCCTTACGCCAAAGTATTAAGGGTTCAATGGTAAATGTGTTGAGTATTTTAAATATGTCATTGTTATTATTTGTGGTGTGAATGAAGCTTTTAATGAAATTTGCTTATTCCCACGCTTCAGGCACTGGGAGTAAACAGCTTCAGCGAGCGAGGGCTCCTCAAGAAGAAGGTGAAGGAGATGAGGGCCATGCTGGAGAAGGAGCGGAAAGTGCAGGAGAAGCAGCGGCGTCAGCGGGAGAAGGTGCAGCGCAAGGAACTGGAGCAGAGGCGCAGAACAGGGCAGCAGCAGGGACCCAAGGAAGGGGGAGGCACAGAGACCACGGCCTGAACACAGTATCTCCTTTACAGTGACCTCAGTCCTACTCGGACTGCCCGTTCATTTCCTTTCGGGTCGCTGAAAGCCATCATCTTACTACATATGCATCTATAATTGGAGGCTGCTCAAGCAACTAGAGGAAATACCGCAAAGCTTCCATAATTCTTACAGTGTTTATATGACCAATTGATTTCTCAGTTTTTTATTGTCTGGGTTTATGCATAGCCTTTTGAAAAATATTTGCGGCTATACATTTTAATAAAATTCAGCATTTTTGTACAAGGTATTGGCATTTGCTCTAAAATATTGGCATCAACAGGGAAGCCAGATGTACATTCTGTGGTCCATTAATGGATCAGCTTCATGTGTCCAGCTGTGCCGATATTTGTCTTATAACCAAAATCCACCCGCCCCCCCCCCCCCACCCTGTTCAGACACGCAGTCTGCATATTGGGACTATAGCACAGACCCAGCATGGTCCAATGGAGGTCTTTGCCAGGCAAAATGTTTATTTAGTGTTTGGGAACAAAAATATCAGAGTGAGTGCATGCTAATGCTGGAACAAAATAAATGTATGCAGACCTAAAACTGTGGAAACGTTGGTAGCACAAATGAACAAAGTTATGTAAATAATATTATGCAATTACTTTTATTGTGCTGTCTTGTAAATTTGTTTGAAATAGAGTTTACATGTGCTTTGCTGTATCCCTGCACTTATGAAATTAGATTACTGTGAAAATAAGAGAAAAGGGTTTCTTTACCCGAAAGGAAGGCAGCCCCATTATAGACTTCCAGAAAGACATGAAGGTGGTGACTCCTTCACTTTCTATATTGGCCCAATGAATGCACATCTGTGATCCATAATACAGGTTTTTTTGGGTTAGATCGCGTAAATATATAAATGTATTGTTAAACCCGCCACCACCCGGCACAACCAAATAGTTAGGTTTGCCACGTAAACAGAACATGCCAATTCGTTACTAGTACAGCACACCGGTGTGTTGGAGAGCAAAGCCACAACATTTACAATCTGAGTACGACGTTTCGCCAGTAATTACAACTAGCTTCATCAGGCGACAGACAGATTGTAAATGTGGCTTTGCTGTCCAACACACCGGTGTGCTGTACTAGTAACGAATTGTCATGTTCTGTTTACGTGACAAACCTAACTAATTGGCTGTGCCGGGTGGTGGCGGGTTTAACGATATTTATATATTTACGCGATCTAACCCAAAAAAAACCTATATTATGGATATTGGTCACGAAAGCTTGCTACGTGTTAAACACACGTCTGCGATTTTTGAGCTTTGAGACGTTGTCACAGTCCGTGATCAAAGGATTTCCTCGATACATTTCCAAGTATGTGAGGCAGTCTGCAATGTGCTCTTTTCACAATGCTACAGTCTTGCTACGAAACGAAATAATATATTTTACAACTATCTTTAAAACACCATTTCAAAGTCACGTTGCATTTGCTGAAACTGATGGAACTAGCACAACAGCTGCAGATTCATTATTGACTTTGCTCTGTAGGCAGTTGATCCGTCTTGTTTATTTCTTATGTCTGTCATCCCTGAATTTAAAACAAGGTATGAAAATACCAACATTTCCCTTGAAGGCATTTAAATTAAATTAAATGTAGATCCAACAAAATTAGCACTGGAAATATTTGTTTCTGCTATGTATGCTTTGGCTGTTTATTGTGACAGAGTGGTCCACACATTTTCCTTCTATACTTCCCACTTCGCAGGATGCATGGGGCCAATGTTCGCCAACCTTGGCCCAATTTTGGGAAACACTGTAATCTAGACTAGTACTGACGTGATTGATGAGGATCAGTCGTTGACAGCAAACCTTGGCACTCCTACCAGTCTCTGTTTACGAATTCGTTTTTACACTTGTCTCTAAGTTACCATGAAAACAATATCTATACCTGAGCATTGTGAAATTATTTTACTACAAGAAACCAGATTTTTCACTGGGTTATCTTCAGCCAATATGTATTCATTGCTGAAAGAAGGCCTCACCAAGCCATTGGCATCTCACGGTCTGGTGATGCAACAACATATCTGGCTTCTGCACAAGAACTGATTTAATCAACCCATCTCCCTTGTGTAACGTACTTTCGGCCGTGTTGCCACCTTTGGCTGCCACTCTGTCATTAGTCTTGACCACCGGTTATATGGGAATATACTGGAAATTTGATCTTCGTCTGGACTAATTCGGCATATCGAGCACTTTACTCTGTACCTGAATGCATGCAATGATTGCGTAGCACTAGAATATTCTTAAATTGAAAAAATATTACAAGACACGTTTTTATATACCCCACTCCAGCAAATGTGTTGTATTGGAAATGTAAAACAACAAGACCCATGCATTTTGGGCAGATTTGGGGAACCATTTTTTTTGTTTCAAAATGACAGTGTTTTAAATAGTATTACTGCAAAAGCCTTCAAATGTCAAGTATATATCAAATACAGTATTGCACATGATGACTGTGTTGTCCCAATTACATTTAAGTGTACTTTCTGGTTAAACACTCGTGTTTGAAATTCAGACCTAATGCTGCATCAATATTCTAAATAAATACAACTGTTTGTCACAACTTGCATCACCATTGTGAATGTCAGAAATCTTTAACCGTAATTTTGGGGGAGTTTTATTTATCTCAACTGTGTTGTCGACGTCATGTCTGTAACTCTTGCAGAACAGTTACATCACGCTGCATTAAAGGAAGGCCCATGGAACAAGATATCACAGAACTACTTCTGAAGTCCCTGCAAGTGATCTGTTATTTTGTCTCGTAGCACACTAACGGGCAACACTTTACAACTCTCCGTGCTATGGAATGCTCACCGCATTATATTCCAGCTGTAATTTTCAGAGGTGGAATCTAGCCAAATTAAATGTATAATAATTTAATATGACGATGTCAGTTGTGACTGGACTAAAATCCTCAATCTCTATACCTAACAATCCATTTTAATTAAGGGCGGCCGCCCGGATTCGAACCAGGACCACTCATTGGAGCCAGTTTATCGCTCAGACCTCTGAGCCACCTGGCTACCTTAGAGAGCGTGCTTTTGGACAACCTAAAGGCATTTAGGACTGACAATTTAGCTGGCTGTGGAAATAGGTATTAAACAACCACACATGACAAATTGGTGCTAGATAACACAATAGATGGTTCTGATAAAATCACCAAAACGCTTAACATATAGTGAAACACCAATTCTAATGAAAAACAAATTTTGCTCGACAACTGTACACTCAGCATAGCATGTAAGAAAAACCCCGTGTTGAGCTCAGATTAATGTTTAACAGGCCCTAAATAATACTTTCCCCAAAGCTATATGCTTGGGGTTTCATTACTTCTTGTCAGTGACAAAACACATCCGCATAAGTAAGGAAAGTATAGTGTTTAAATATTAGAGGGATAGAGGGCATATTATACATTAAATTGTATTTGTGATGGTCTGTTTTTCAAGCCTCCAGATGGAAAATGTGCTTATTTGCAGTCTCAGCCAGATTGCTCACGTGGAAAACATCGAAACGTGAATGTCGCTTGGCAGTACACTTTACCAGACAAAATTATGGATATTACCAAGTCTCATGTCCTGCCACCCTGTTCTTTAAAGGCCAGCACCATACACTGCATAGTTCACGTTTAAAGATTTATGGTGTCACTTGCGCTTGTTATTGTCAAAACAGAACGTAAAAACTGACTTTCTGTCACAGGCTCCAATCTACAGCTTTGAATTATTGTTTGCAGTCAGATCCATCAAATATATCCCAGTAGCTTCCCTCGAGTAACGCTCACATTGGCAGACAGAAGCTAGGGGGCTTCACCTCCGATTAGCACGGTTGGCTACGTACGGTGCGAAATAAGTTCAACAAACATACATAGTCAATTGGCCATTTGTTAAAAGTGCAGTAGAGTGCTTAATTACGTTTATAGATTATGATATCGATAAAGGGATAGTGGTGGCACAGCGGTGACACTGGACTATGAACCTAGCAACCTAGGCTGCGCGGCGATCATCAATGGTGATCTTGGGCGACCTCTTCCACCAATCCGTAGTGATGAGTGTGAGGAAGTATGCTCAAACAAGCCCTACCACCAACACGGTTTTGAAAGGCCTCCATCCGGCAGTGGATTTACAAAGAGCTTTCACATGATAATCATTATCCTCGATAATGCCACTGAACGGATCTCATCAATGATTGCCATTGGAATGAGGATACACCCCCGTTGTGATATCTAATGACACTGACAAGCGTTGCACGCTTGTTGTCATACGATCTGCAAAACAATAATTAAAGCCCATTCATGAGGTGAGGGAGAGGAGACATGACACTAACCACACGCATGTTTGTGTGCTCGCACGCATTTCAACATTTACACGAATGAGCAATTGTGCATCACTGCTGCCATCTGTTTCAAGCAGTGGTCAAAATGGAAATGTAGAAGTCCCCTTCCTCAGCCTTTTTGTCCTGCGTCCCATGTCAAAGCTTCCGTTTTCCCTCTGTGGAAAGACCACAGTATAGTTGGATATGAACCGTTCTGAAGAATGCCGGTCAGTATAAGTGTTTTTGTGTTCTCAGATATACTGGCTAATTTTGACCACTGAGATTAGGGCACCACTCATTAGCTGCGCGGCCCTGTCAAAGCAAGGTCATGCAGATTGCGATCCTCACTCACACACAGACACACAGCTGCTCCTTTGGAACATAACATTAAACCAGCATGAGGTGGAGATACTGCATGTTTTATTACATCTCTGTTATCTTTAATCATTCAAAAACCGGTATGATTTGCTATGGCTTCAGGCTCTGGTAACAAAACATAGCTCATACCTGCAACTGAGCTTAACAATTGTACATACTAATGCAAATATATTTACGTAAAAAACTTAACAATGTAGCACCTGTTAAAATGTAGACACCAATGTATTAGCTACACGTGTTGTATTTTGCATGGCTGTTCTGTAGCAAAGTTGCATTGCATTTTTGATTTTGTGAGTGAAGGGCCATTGTGAATGTTTGCGGGTTAACTGTTAGAGTTTAATACAGATCGATCTATATTTATTTCATAACAGACAATCATCCCCTAATGGCTAAATTGTGACAATTGTACTTATAGCTCTGGTGGAAGCTCAAAGCATGACTTTAACAGACTGATCCGGTAAATAATGACATTGGATAAAATGGCGACTCAGATGTCAGAGACATCTGCATTGTGACTTCACTTGCCTCACAGTTATACAAAAACTGCAGTGGATGGAACCCCCCCTCCCCATACGTAGCACCTGATACTTTAAGAATATATATGAAGAAAAAGGGATATGTAACTTCAAATGAGAAGTATTAGTGTACAATAATACGGGTGCATATTATTCGTTTAACAAAAATGTGCAGTCTATTTTGCTAAGCCATGTGATCATTTGAACCTGCAGTATAATGTTTCTAAATTACGGAAAACTCAACAGTGCCGTATTCAGCCATGGTAATAGTTGTGCACTTTTGGGTATGTCATCCAGTAATTATTAGCCATCAAACAACAAAATAACATAGACATGAGAACACATCGGTTTTACCGCACTACTAGCTAAGATTGATGCTATCAGGTATTTGCAATATCAATACCTTTTTCGAGTTTTTCTGTAAACCTAATAACGAAATAAAATTGAAACATAAAAAATCACGGAAACTTGTCACCATGTAATTCACAGCTGCAAATAACAAATGCAGACGTCCTAATGCTTGTGGGGGGTGGGGAGGGGGGTCATCGCCAATCAAAATTTGAAAATTTTCTTTCACTGAAACATTGGATTCAGTTCTACATATAACGTGAGTGGCTTACGGGAAACCTCGGAGCAGAGAGCCCCGGCAGGGGCCGAGCCACCACGGGCCTAGCACACCCACTTGATGAAGCGCTCGAAGAAGGACGGCATAAAAAGCTCGTTGTAGTTGCGCACTGAGAAGATGGAGGCGCGTTCGTTGAAGGTGAGCGGCAGTAGGCTCGCGTGGTCCACGTTGGGGCCCACCGCGATTACCGTCGTGAAGATGTCACGCTGGCGCAGGGCCTTCAGCGCCTTATCCATATCTTCCTTGGTGCCTCCCAGAGACGTCCCTCCATTCAGCAGAAATACGAAGTTGACCTCGGCGTTGCTGCGCACCCCCCTGTACTTGTTGGCGGTGTTCTCCACGACGGTTTCTATGGCGTTAACAATGGCTGGCATCAACGAGTGTGCCGAATCCAGGTAATTGGCTTTCTCTAGACTCTCCACGATTTCCGTGAAGTTGGCCGAGAAGTCAAGATTGACGGATTGCTCTGTTTCGCCGCCGTACTGCAGCACGCCCAACCGGGCACCTTCGCTTTTGCTGATCCTCGGAGTGGAAGCGGAGGAGAGAGTCTGGTCAATTAATGGCGTCGCTTGTGAGAGAGTCAAAACCTCTGCGACCCTTCTCACAAAATTCTTGGCCTTGTTGAAGTTGTTCATGCCAGTCTGCTCGGAGCCATCCACCATGAAGAGAACTTCGACGGGACGGTTATTGCACAGGGCCACATCCAGCTCTGCAGTTATCAGGAAGAAAAAAAAGTTGATGCACATCAGATATGAAATGAACTAAATAAAATTCATATATTTCACGCTATCCTTATTAACACGTGTTTAACATGAGTAAGGTTTTTCTTTACACTTATTTGCACATTACAAAAGCATTACAGATTTCTCAGACCCACCTGGACCACATTGAAGCTTGGGGCACACAAATTGAGGATCTGCAACAACAAAAACATGCATGTTTCTCACTGAGTATTTAAAGATTACTTCAAAGTCAAGTCAAAGTGATTTCCTGTTCGTAAAAACTGAGGCGGTGCTTATCTCCCGTTTACAGCCTTGAGCCAGTGATGGTAATTCCACATTCTTATGGAAGGGGCAGGTCTACCCATAGGACAACGACTGTTGACATCCTCACAAAGTATTAACTTTGTTATCCACCCCAGAGGTATGATTATAGGCTGAGTCAACTCCCAACCAGTATTTGAACTAGTATAAACTCTATGTTCATTCTTTACGTCAGACACAAGAGGTCATCATAATCAAAAGCATGCGATTAAATAATGTTCACTATGGTGACGAATATTGTGTATTTGTACAGATGGGATGGAATGCATCACCAGGACAGATGAGGTGCTCTGTTTCTGAAAGGAATTCCTCTGCTAAAAGATCAGTAAACAGGGAGATGTTCTTGACATGGCTCGGGTTGTCGCAGGCAATGGACAAGAGACTCTCTGTGTTGGCTTTCTCCTGGAACATGTCTCCAATGCCCAGCACGTTGACGCTCACACCAGCACCGCACAGTGACGTGAGCCTATTCTCATCGTCACGGGGGTCGTACCGCCCGTCGGTAATCACGATCGCGAACACCTGTGCACCAACGTAAGAAAAACATCAAGGAAGACTGAGGATATTTAATAAAATATTGTTTGCATTTATATTGTGCTCTTCATGTAAGAAAAGTTTTGGAGCACAGAATTTAGCCGAGGGGACCCCCCAATAACAGCTTGTCTCTGTGTGGCACAAGGTAACTCAGTGGCAGCCTGTAAGTGGGCACTAGACTGCCAGTATGGAATAACGATTGCTATTTCGAATTTGGCCAATTTTGCCCAAGATAGCGTCATACATAATGGCCTTCTCTTTACAAATGACGATATGGAATCTTTAACACCCACTTTGAAGCAGATGCATTTTTACGTTTAATATACCTGCAAGATTATTCAGGTTGGCTTTCAGCGTTTAAACTACAATCCTCTAAAACAAGCGGCGAATGCACCACTGTTGAGCCATGTCACCGACCTCATGAAGCAAGCAAAATGTTGTTGAGTCCTACAATACAGAATTCATGAACCACCACTTTTTTAACTTTTTGAAGGACATTAATTTGTTAACAATTTTTATATCACGTACACAAAGTAATAACATTAAAAAATTGTTCATGTTTTAGTCATGAAATGTTGGCTAAATAAAAGTGTTATTGCTCAGCAATGACATGTCACGTAGTCTATTGCATCTGAATATTTGTATGGATTAGTCAAACGAATATAACAGTTTCTCTGCTCCTCTGAATTTCAATTCTGATGTGATAACCAGTACACCATAGCAGCATCCCTTAGATAAGGACACATTCTGCAAAGCAGCAGATGGTCACGCACCTTGACGTTAGCTCTTTTCCCATTGTGCACCAGCTTATCGTAAGCAAACTTGAGGGCCGAGGGGGTCCATGTGCCACCAGCAATCCACTTAAGGTTCTTCACAGCCGTTTTAAACGAGGACAGGGAGTTGATGTCAGGGTCAGACATGCTGATGGCCTGGAATGTGCCGTCGTGACTGTACTGCACGATGCCCACGCGGATGCCTGCGCGACAACGTCACGGTGCCACCGCTCACGTTAGACCGCGGCCCACTCGAGGCGAACGGGCAATTTCACAGCAAGCAGTGAAACAGAATTAGAATATGTATTTATACTGGATGAATGCGATGAGCTATACATTTTTTTTTCACAGATGTCCAGTAGGGGCAGGCAAGAACGTTACAACAACAAAGAATTTTCGATTTAAAGCTTTTGTGACTGCAGGGATTCATATTCTTGGTTCTTTCGGTAAAGTCACGTAGAAGGAAAATAATAAAATAAAGCAAATATCTGTATTCTTTTATTATTTCCCTTCTACAAATATTTGTATTTACTATTTCCCTTCTACGTGACTTTACCGAAAGAACCAAAAACATAACAACAAATAATACAAAAACACGACAGAAAGCCAAAAGTACAAGAAAGGTGAACAAATCACCCAAAAACATTCAAATTAATCTAAGCCATCCCCATCTTATCAGGCAAAGCCCACTGAAGTATTCACTCATTTTTCAGAAGCGACCTGGCCAAAAATGACAGTTAAACAATGTGGCTTACCGCGTGAATATTTATATCAGCAAAATGAAAACCAGCAGTGCCGCGCTGTCTTGTATTGTTACGACATCCACAGGCTCCTGAGCAGCTATGATATTGCTGGAATTTTAAAGCCCCATGAAGGAGCGTGCATGCTTTTCTTTGCATGACTTGCTCATCTGTTAAACATTCTTGGAGACATTTTTGGAAGACTAGAATAGTGCAGCTGGGTGCCTGAGCAGTACTTGAATTTGAGTCCCATGTAAGACAGAAAATAATCTGTCACATGTTCCACAAATTCTCCCAGATGAGGCTTATATTGAGCGAATTAAGTGAATTAGTCAGAGCAGACATGTAATCATTATGTCCACATTAAATATAGCTTTACATTTTTTTATATTGATTATCATATTATGTGAAGGATTGGTAACCAGTGCAGTTATTGCAATCAAATCAGTAAATCCATCTGGCTGTCCAATGGATGTGTGGCATGTGTTATCTGACCCCTCTTAGTCATTACAAATAATGGTCTGCGACTGTTTTCCTGCATGAGTGGTTTTACATTTCACTTCGGTTGCGAACTCAATCCATCATATCTTATTTTACAAACATATTTCATGTTTATGTAGAGATAAATCTGCTAAGTCAGTCCCATTGCTGAAATACTAGAATGTTGTTTAGATGAAAATGACATACAAATCACTTGAACTGGTACTTTCAGATATCACTTTACCCATGACTTAAACACTTAACAAACAGCATGTTCTCAAAATAATACCACGTATTATTTATAAAGATCGGCTGGACTCTGGTGATGTACGGCTGTTACCTGAAGGGTCGGTGGCATTTTTGGCTAAATTTCCCAGGCGGCTCACAGTGTTAATGACAAAGTTCTTCTCAAGGGTGAAGTTGGATTGCCCTATGCTCTCTGAGCTGTCCAGCACAAATATCAGATCGACCGGTCCGCAGGTCTTCTCACAGTCTGCAAGACAATAAGCATGATGGCTATGTACGGTGCAAAAGAAGGTCAACATACATACATATGTAGCGACTGTCTTATGCATTTACGTATTGTGCCCCAGCCAAACAAAAATACCAATGAACTCGGTGACTAAATAGTTTCCCACAATTACAATATTCAAACTTGGAAGTCCCAGAGACATGCGATTTATTTATTTAAGTAGCACTGTTCCTTACCACAGCATCCACACGTCTCCCGAATCATGGTCATCACGTCACACTCCTGGACAGACATGCGAGCGTGAAGGAAGACCAAGACATCGCTGCTTTTAAAATATTACTTTCAAGCTCCACATTACACCACATGCAATCGAAATGCAGGTATGAATGATGTACCGTGAAAGGTCAGTGACTCACCGTAGTGCCTGGTGATCCTGGCATGCCTGGTAAGCCCTGCACAGAGATAACAATAGAATATTAACCAAGCAATATTTAATAGTTACATTTTTTATGGATACATCTCATTCGAGAGGTATTACAATCAGGCTTACCAGCCACGATGTAATTCATAAACATGAGCATGCCAGTTGGTTCTATTATCATTGACAGTGCATGCTGCAGTACAGTGTTATGGAGGTGTCCCTCACAACAGGTCCTTTGGGTCCACGAAGACCTCGATCGCCAGTCTCCCCTGATGGACCTGGATCTCCCTGATAAATACAAGTAAAACATTGATAAAATAACAGTATCCAACTTACAGATGACAATATTCTTGCCAACTAAACCTTAAACCTGATCTTTTTAAAAGACAAAATGCATTACGGAATAGGTTTTTTGTAGAATAAACTTTAAATGCTGTTGTCAGGCCACAATATTCCATACCTAGATCTTCCAGGCATCCATTTATAAAGATTCACTCCAACTTTCGTGGGTTTGCATTGAGTGACAGTGCCACATATTCAAATGAGGAGCAGAACAGCATTCATCTCCATTGGCAGATGTACGTATGTATGTTGAATTTCTTTCGCACTATACATAGCCAACCGCGCCAATTGGAGGTGCGGGAGCATCGAGCCAGGGGTGAAAGTTCCACACGCTTATGACGTGGCCCAGTTTGTTCAAAGGGCAACCACTAGTGATGTTACACGAAGTGGAAATAATTTTGATAACCCCAGTGATGATAGGTTAAATTCCACTGTGCATCACAGTATTATGTTTGCAGAAAATGTTTAACAGCATCACATTTCTTACCTTCTCTCCCGGAATCCCCTTCATCCCAGGTGGCCCCTTCGGTCCACTAAACCCTCTTGCGCCCTGTGTTTGGTGAGCAGCACAGAGCGAGTACCTTCATTGGGAATGGCACTAAAACACTCAACCATCAGTCTCAGATGTGTTGTGCACAAAATTGTCTTCAACATTCCGCTCGTAAAAAGTGCGCTGCTGTCACTGCGCTTGTATAGAATAAAAATCATCGTACCGGAAGTCCTTTTGTTCCAGAATCACCTGGAGTACCCTGAGCAGATTGGAACAAAACAAGACGCATCTTGGTATATACGCAGTCTGTCGTTTGATATCACAATATTTACGTCATTGAGATCTTCTTATAACACAATAGAGTATTACGACGAGTGTGTGAATGTTGTAAGCTCCCATGTACTTACAGACTCGCCCCTTGGGCCAGGGAAGCCGATACCATCCCTCCCAGGGTCTCCCTGTTATAAAGGAAACACACAATAACAAAACGTTATGCTCACTTTGACTATTATTTTTTGCAATGCGCCAGGACTAAGGCTGATAATTGCAAAACTTCCTGTCAATGAGTTTTTGTTGACCATGAAGAGCTTTTAAATGTGAATGGACAAAGTGGCTTGTTTTAGTTGTTCAATGCTCGGAATATTCTTCTTTTGTGCGGCATTTGAACAGCAACCGACAATACATTGTGCCTGTGCATTGAGTCTGGTGGTCCACAGTGGAGCTCGTGTGCAGTGTGAGAACTGGAGCTTGCGTGCAGTGTAAGAGGGAGAGCTGGAGCTTGTGTGCAGTGTGAGGGTCAGCGTGTGGGTAGTGCGAGCGTGAGAGCCGGTGCGAGCTTGGTGTTCGCCAGTTCATGCCTTCACGCCCTCAGGACCAACACCTCCACGTAGGCCGGGCTCACCGGGGTCGCCACCACTGCCCTGCGCCACAAAAACGACATGGAGTGAGCGGCGTGCACCTCCTGCACCCCCCCCCCTCCCCCACCGACAATCAAACGGCTCATTTCCCCTTCACCATCCTTCACTAACCGGCGTGGTGAAGTATGGTAACCCCCCCCCCCCGCCCAACTTCATGATATAGAAAACACTTGTTTCTGAAACAATGCTTCCTGCTGATGCTTCTTTACCTCACACACAACAAACACAGCTGCACATTAAGATCGGTGACAGGAAATGTGAGATCAAAGTACCGGTTTGCACTGCTTTTGAGGTATATGTTTGGCGATACTATATAAATGTGCTTGTGTCTTGGAGTAACTCGCTCACTGTTTCGCCTTTCGTCCCATTCCCGCCTGTGGGACCCCTCACTCCTGGGAAGCCAGGGTCTCCCTGTGACACAAAACACAGACATCCCTTATCGCACCGCGCAGAGCACTTGGGTTTTCTGTGTGATCCGGGTGCCACAAGTAAAAATGTTACACTTCACAGACGATGAACTCACAATCTCTCCTGAATTGCCTCTCTCGCCAGGGAGACCCCTCGAACCATCCGGGCCAGCATCTCCCTGTCACACACCAACAGGTCAACAAGGTGTTTGCCGTAAAAAGTATTCGTTCCTTTCTCTCAACCACAGAGTTAATGCAACGGGCAAGAATAGGCGTCGTAAATGATCAGACGTGACAACGATCTGTCCTCACCTTCTCTCCTTTGCCCCCATCTGGGCCTGGTGGTCCAAATGTGCCAAGGTCTCCTCTGTATCCCTGCATTCACAATTTAACACGTGTCGAAATCCAACACGTTAAGCAAGTAATTTTAGCAAGTCGTGTTTCCAATTAACTTATGAATGTTGAAGCTAGTGTCTGATTCAGTAATCAAATAATGTAAATGTGCTTGACATTAGCATTACCTATTGTAAAATGTTAATGCTGATTACAATATTATGAATATGAAAAGGGAAGCACGCTAACCTTGTCGCCAGCGGACCCTTTTGCCCCGGGCTTCCCCTGCACCACACACACGCATCATACGATCACACACGCACAACTTCAGTAATGGGTTATGTATGTACTAAATGTTGAAATTTGTACGTAGCCAACCGTGCTAATTGGAGGTGTGGGGGAAGGGCAACAAACTTAATACAAAAAAGTAGTTCTAAGTGAATTCGTTTAAAATCTAGATTTAAAAGTGCATTGCACCAGCGGCTTAATATGCAATGCGTCAACAAAGACATGGCCAATTTGACACTTGATTCGTGTCACCTGGTCTTTTCCATGCACACCTGCGCCTCTTCTCATGTTGGAACCAAGAGTTTGGAGTGACTATGTTTCTTCTGCTTACAAACTTCCGCAAGTCTCTCCTCATTCATCGCTTCTTCCCAGTACATACTTGCCTACTTCTCTTCCATCCTATCTCCTATAACTACAAACCAATCTCCCAATATCACGATAGAGTATTTGCCTTTACTCTTTCTACCAGTTGTTTCATTCTATCACAAACCTCTTCACATTTTTTATCGCTGTCACAAACTTGTTTAAATTCCTCATCACTCAGTTCTGAAGCTGACGCATACACTTGGATGATGACAACATCCCTTGGGTCCATGCTGGTCTTCAACCATCAATCTTTTGTTGATCGCTCACGCTTTGGAAACAGATTTCCCCATTCTGTATCCGAGATGACTGTGCCACCTCTCTTACTTTGCTTTTCCTCCAGAGAATATCACTTTAAAACCATCGCCCCAAAACTCACTCAATACCCCCGTCTCACCTCGCACAATCCAGGGGTGTTCAACAAAGTTTAAAGACCACAAGGCAATCAAGTTTGATTCCATATATATCAAAATAATACTAAAGGTATTGTACATTAGAATGCAAGAAAAGATGGGAGAATACATAAAAAATGATGCTCTCAGGAAAGTGTGCGGAATACAAGCAGCGATTGGAATGGTGAGAACATACTCTTTGGTTCTATTGGGTAAAGTCACGTGACTTTACCCAATAGAACCAAAGAGTATGGATCCTAGCAGTCACGAAAGCTTTAAATCTAGAATGGTGAGAACAGTTTGCAAAAGGAGCCTAGAAAACAAGAGGTGTTTTATATACTTTGTTGATTTTGAAAAGGCATTCGAGTAAAGATGGTCAGAGCTTACAGAAATATTGAGTGAACTGGAGCAGACTGGGGAGACCAAGGGTTGATATGTGAGTCAGATAGTGGTGGACATAGTAGCTCTAGTGGACAGAGTAGCTGCTGGACAAAGTAGTTGGTGAACAGAGTTGCATGGACAAAGGAGCTGATGGACAGAGTATCTGGCGGACAGAGTAGCTGTGGACAGAGTAGCAGTACACAGAATAGCGGTGGACAGAGTAGCGGTGGACAGAGTAGCAGTACACAGAATAGCGGTGGACAGAGTAGCGGTGGACAGAGTAGCGGTGGACAGAGTAGCGGTGGACAGAGTAGCAGTACACAGAATAGCGGTGGACAGAGTAGCGGTGGACAGAGTAGCAGTACACAGAATAGCGGTGGACACAGTAGCGGTGGACAGAGTAGCGGTAGACAGAGTAGCGGTGGACAGAGTAGCGGTGGACAGAGTAGCAGTACACAGAATAGCAGTGGACAGAGTAGCCGGTGGACTGGAGGTGGGATTTCTTGACGAGTAGCCAGCCAAGGCTGCCAATGAAGACTGAGAAGCGACAGAGCAAGAAGCATGGGGAAAAAAGTGAATGAACGTTACAATATCTGTATAAAGGAATGTTTAAGTCAGCCTGATCTGTGAATGGCAACGATTAACTGTCAAGTAAAGAACACTATTTAATTTAGTAGAGAGCTTGAACAAAACGGCAATAAGATTTGGTGTGAAGATCAGACATGGGAAATGCAAAGCTGATAAAAGTATCAGGAAATGTAAGAGGAGATAGGATAGACATCTTGGTTAACAATTCTGGTACAAAGGCAAAATGATCAAATCAGATGGCATATGCTTCAAATAAATTAAGACAAGAAGAGCGATGGAAAAATAAGCATTTAAAAAGAGCTCTTGATATGAACGTAAAAACTAAATTGTAAAAAAAAAATCTGTGTGTGGAGTGAAACAACGTATGCCATTGAAATCATGGACAGCAGAAGCAAAGGATGTAGGTAGACTGGAACATTTTATGTTATGGATTTATAGAGGAAAGCAAATTATCAGTTGGGGATAGAAAAAAAGGACGAACGAAGATGTTTTCGGGATAATTTTACAATCAAAATAAGAGAAACGAGTTCAATTTGGCATATGAGAGACAAGAGCTCAATGAGAGAAGTTAATTAAGGACGCACGGGAGGGAAGATATCAAGAGCCTGGAGGAAGTAGTTGGATGTTTTAAAATAAGAAATTGGGGACGTGAAGAGACCGCTGCAAACATTAAACTGGTTGTTTATTTGCATGTCTTAAAGGTTATCTGCATTCCAAGTTTAAAGGACATTTTAATCATTTTTCATTATGACGCATTATATGTTGGCAGTATGTGGAATTAAGTTTTAAACAAAACAAGATTATTTTACAAGTGAATGGCATGAATTGAGATTTTCACCTTCACCCCTCTGGCGCCAGGCCTGCCTGGGTTTCCTGGATATCCCGGAACTCCCTGGAAGAACACAGATTCATCCGTGCGTCACACACACACACAAACCTCCGTGAGCAGAGATGGCACCAGACCAAACCGGCAAGACACTGCTTAGCTGAGATGATATTTAAAAGGAGACGGAACAAGACATAAGCTTACTTTTTCTCCTTCTGTGCCATTCAGGCCCCTGGGTCCACTGCTTCCCTGCCGCCCTGGGTCTCCCTGTTCACAAAAGAAATAGACCAGGCATAGTGGTAATTCGAACCACAAATCCCATGATCCATTAATGCCACCACAATCCATGTAGATTTATGAGATTGGGATTGATAGAAAGTGTGAACGCTGTGCTGTAGTCAGCCTCACCTTGTCACCCTCATCGCCTGGAGTGCCTCTGATTCCCGCATTCCCCAACCCACCCTTCGGGCCCTGCATGTCAAGAGGCACATTGGTGAAGCGTCACCACAGTACGGCCAACCATCAAAGTGTCACTGCAACATGCAATTGTATGTCCATCTTCAAATTATTACTTAGACTTCTTTCTACACCTCTTATGCAGAGCTTTGCAAAGTATATGCACAAAAAGTAAGACTACAAAAAATGCGATTATATTTTTTCGACCGATGTATGGGATTTTGAGTAAGTCTCACCAAGTCACCATTGTCACCCTTACAGCCAGGGCTGCCAATCCGTCCAGTTTTCCCCTAGAAGGGAACATCGCCACACACAGTCACCACATTTGACTTCTCGCAAAACCTCAAATAAAAACGTGTTATATTTGAACCATATCATTATATTGAAATTAAAGTTGATATAAAACTAATTTTAAAAGCTAAATGAACTCGTAGCTTAATTATGTTTTCTTGTTGTAAATAACGTCGAACACATGTACAACCCAGTACAACCAAAGAATCCTACGCAATGGCACTGAATTAAGTTGATTTATGGAGATGCGATAAGAAAACGTGACAGTGGGAAGGGGCGTGTGTGTTACCTTTGCTCCATCAAGCCCATTGCGACCAGGCAGTCCGGATTCTCCCTAAACAAAGACGTCACACGGATCGCAACACATGGTCGTTTGTAGTGTTCATTGAAAAATACCAAACTTGACATGTGTGCGTTTTCTCAAAGAAACATGCTTACTTTCTTTCCAGATTCCCCATATTCTCCCTGGAAAAGATACACCACAGTGAAACATTAGCAAACAATGTGAACGACTATCGATATTTACAGTACTGCTTTACATCATGCAGTCTTTAGTAATGTGCATGACCATATGTACAAATTTGTGAGACAAATGCAAAAAACATTATGGACATATAAAATGTAACAGCATGTATTTTGCATTAATGCACTGTGTATGCATTTACTATGAACAAAACATCATACATCACCTTCTCTCCTTTTAATCCAGCCATACCCTGCACAAAAATGAAATAATTGATTAATAAAAGTGAAAACACTCGTTATTGAAGCAACATGTAACGTGAATTGCATTTTGTGTGATAGTGCGCCGAGACTTACCTTGGGTCCTGGGAAACCCAAAGGTCCTTCTATACCTGGATCTCCCTAGATGTGAATGCAAACACATATAATTAGCATCATACAAGCAACAACACACATATGAGATATGCGTCGCACACAGTTGCTCATTCGCATGCACACATGTGTGGAACTGACACACACGCATGCACGCACCAGGTGAACGTGTGTGAACACTGCCGAAGCTGTGCATGTGAAATGTGTGCCCTACCATTGCGCCATCATCTCCTGGATTTCCAGAGTCCCCGCGGTTTCCTTTCTCACCCTGCCAGAAAAAGGAAGCCATGCTCACATCAGTGTTTCAAGGAACAGAGCAGTACAACGTAACTATTGCAGGGGGGTGGCATGGCCGAAGCTGGCGTGCCCACAATATCACTCTGGGTGTATTAACCGTAACATAATCCGCAATGTCTACTTCACAGTGTTTGAGTTAATTTGATTTGTTAAATGTTTCCTGGCTATATTACAAGTGAGATCTATGTCTAGGTTAGCAGAGCAGCAATAAAAACTAAAGACAAAAATAAATATTGCCGAGAATTATTACAGGGTCCTTCCGCAATAATTTTCAACAAACAATGTATTTGATGGTCATAAATCTTCTTCTTCTTTCGTATGGCTGATGTAGATGCAGACAACATAATGTTATAGCAAAAGGTGCCATGAAAAGTAAGCTCTGTATTTTGGTCGAATGGAGATATAAAGAGGGGGAGTAAAGGGAGGAACCCAGATGAAGATGAGCAGCAAGGGTATTCCAGAGACATGGAGCAGCAACTTAAAGAAATGTTTTACCTAAGCTTTAACAAATGTATTTTTTATAGGAATAATAAGGCACTTCTGACACTATGGGTGGGGGTTCTATTGGGGTGTGAGGGAAAACCAGAGAGTGAAGTGGTATAATATAACAAGATTTTTTAGGCTAGATTCAAAAGCTAGGCAGTAGATGGTGTCACACGGGCAGGATGGTGGTTTTACTGTGCAGTATTTAGGCAGAGTCGAGGTGGAATCCAGCATTTATTTATTTAAAAAAATATTTTTGGCCAAGTTGGTCTTGAAAGACAGATTTGAGTCAAGGATAGTGCCTAAATATTTAGAATTGCTCATCTGCTCAATAAAAAGTCCAGATCCACAATGTGAATAGGTGGCAAGATAGGTTTTGGACAGCCAGAGAATAATACAACTTTGGGCTTTATCGCGTTGAGGACCAGTTTTAGGACGTTGACTTGAAGATTGTAAAAGTCCAGTAATTGCTCCATAGAAATTCCGGAGGTTATCAGGGCTGTGTCATCAGCAAATACGTTAATGTCAGAGTGCAAAGTAGAGATGTTTAGAAAATGATAGGGCCAAGCACAGAGCCCCGAGGAACTACCTTCGTAATGCAGTGCTTTCAGATGTATTTTTGCAGACATTTTGATTAACGCAAATGACTCAATTGGGAATATACATAGAAATTATCGAGTGCCCAATGTCACGCTAGCAAATGAGGCTATCCTAGTCTCTTGAATTCTCATCTGGGTAAACAACATAAACTTTATTAAGCTTCAACGAAAATATTTGCAGATACAATGTGGCCTCACCTTTCTTCCTTTGAACCCTTTTGGCCCACCTGGCCCTGGCATCTCCAAGCATTTCGGTGTAGTTCCTCTGCACTGAGAATAGAAAAGTTTCACATTAGTCTTGTTCCAAAACAAAGCATGCACACATACCCGCATATAATTAAAAGTTGCTGCTGCTCCTTTCTACGTAGTATTTTTACTACGTGATGTTTGGATCAGCTTACATTAAAATCATAAATAGGAAGTTTCCTGTTGTGCCCATTTGGCTTTGTGCTATATTCTCAATAAAAAAAAACACTCTGCCCTTGATTATTACCTCTATGATGCGACTGGTTCTTATTTTCTGTCAGTATGAAGAGACATATATTGGCTTAAGAGTTTGCGTTTAAGGCGTTTACTACCACATTTCTACCAGTGGCATTTCAAAATATTTTCTGGGCACTTTTCCCTAATTGCACCTCAACCCCACCCACTTTTGGCTCTTCTGCAATTATGGCATGGGAAGTGATGCAATTAGTGGATTTTTACGTGGAATCAGCTGCATTAATTTTTTCGTTTCTGAATCTGCTTGTCCTGGTGAGGATCGCGGTGGCAGGATGTTGAGTAGGGTGGTCCGGACCCCCCTTTCCCTGGCAATGGACTTTAGCTCCTCCTGGGGAATTCCCAGGCATCCCCAGGCCAGCCGAGCAACATAATCCCACCAACATGTCCTGGGCCTTCCCCGGAGTCTTCTCCCAATGGCATGTGCCCGGGAGAGTTCCAGGGGGATCCTACTCTGAGGCTCTACCGGATTACCGAGCTCCTCACCCGATCATAGAGAGTGAGCCTGGCAACCCTGCGGAGAAACCTCATTTCGGCCCCTTGTACCCGCGATCTCATCCTTTTGGTCATTACGCAAAGCTCATGACCATAAGTGTGGGTGGGAATGTAGATCGACCTGTAAATCAAGAACTTTGTTCGAGAACTCAGCTTCCGCTTTACGACCATGGAACGGTACAGCACCCACATCACTGCGGATGCTGCACCGATCCGCCTAGCGATCTCCCCCTCTCACTTACCATCATTCATGAAAGAGACCCCAATGTACTTAAACTCCTCCACGAAGGGCAGCTGTTCCCCCCTCATCTAGAGAGCACACTCCTCCGTCTCCCGGGAGTCAACCATGACCTTAAATTTGGAGGTGCTGATCCTCATCCCTGCCGCTTTAGACTCAGCATTAAACCATTCAAGTGCACACTGGAGATCGCAGACTGACAAGGCAAAGAGGATAACATCATCTGCAAAAGGCAGCGACGCCACCTCTATGCCCCCATACTGGATACTCTCCATACTTCAGCTGTGCCTTGATATCCTGTCCATGAAAATCACAAACAGGAGTGGAGAAAACATGCACCCTTGGCGGAGTCCAACACCCACAGTGAATGATTAATTTAATACCAAGAATACGGAAATAGAGGGACCGGATAGTACACAAGACCGTCACCGGTACATCATACTCCTGCAGCACCTCCCACAAGACATTCCGGGGAACACGGTCATATGCCTTCTCCAAGTCTACAAAGCAGAGGTAAACAGGAGAACCATACTCCCATAACCCCTCAAGTAACTGTGAGAGGGAAAATAGCTGGTCCATTGTTCCACAATCCTGATGGAATCCGCATTGTTCCTCCTGAATCTGAGGCTTGACCAGCGGGCACAGCCTTCTCTCCAGCACTTCGGCATAGGCTTTACCTGGGATGCTGAGGAGTGTGATCCCTCTGTAGTTGGAGCACACCCTCTTGTTTCCTTTCTTAAAAATGAGGACCACGACCTCAGTTTGCCAATCCAGAGTTACTGTACCTGCCTTCCATGCAAAATTGAAGAGGCATGTTAACCACAACACTCCTACACTGCCCAGCGCTTTTAACAACTTGTCCACTCCAGCAGCTTTGCCACTACGAAGGCCCTCAACCTCCGCAGCGATTTCAGCAGATGCGATGGATCCAACACACACAGCTGTTTCCAGGGCTGTCTCCTGAGACGAGGGCATGTCCACCGGGTTGAGGAACTCCTCAAATTGTTCCTTCCACCTCTCGACTATCTCCTCAGTTGAGTTCAATGTATGCCACCTTGACTGAGAACGGCCTGGGCCACATCCTGGATGGTTTGCCAGAACTTCTTTAAGGCTGCCCGGTAGTCCTCTCCATGGCTTCTCCAAACTCCTCCCATGCCTGGGCTTTGGCTTCAGTGACTGTTACTGCTGCCACCCTCAATTGAGTCGGGAGACCATTTTATCTGAGCATAGCTCAAAAAGCCTCCTTCTTCAACCTGACAGCTTCCCACACCACTGATGTCCACCAGCGGGTCCTAGGGTTGTCACCATGACAGGCACCAACTGCCTTCAGGCCACAGTTTTTCGCAGCTGCATCGACAATCTAGGTCCTGAACATCGTCCACTCGGACTCAATGTCCATGACCTCCCCTGGAGTGTAGAAGTTTTCCCGGAGGTGGAAGTTGAAATTTTTCTGCGCTGGGTCTTTCACCAGACGTTCCCAGAAAACCCACACTATTTGTTTGGGCCTTCCACAGCTATGGCTTCAAGTGACCAATTAGACCGTTTCTCTGTGGTGTTCGGCAGGGATCTGTGCTTGGCCCATTACTTTTTAGCATCTACATGGCACCATTGTGTATTCTGCTCCAGCATTTTGGCTTATCCTATCGTTGTTATGCAGATAATACTCAAATTTATAGAAAGTGAGGACCAAACTATGCAACAACATCTATCTGCATCACTAACAGTTGTGAATTAATGGTTGCGTCAAACGTTTTGCTACTAAATGGCGACAACACTGAAGCCATACTCATTGGCTCCCCTCTACATCTTTCTAAGATTGGTTCGTCTCGTTTGTTGATTAATGGTCACGATGTCAGTCCCATATGGGAGTTCAGAAATATTGGTGTTCAATTTGACCAGTCATTATCCTTTGAGGCACATATATCTAAGGTGGTTAAAATATCATTTTTCCACCTAATAAATATTGCAAGAATCCATCACTTCCTGTCATCTGCTGACTACTGCAACACTTTACTGGTTGGGATACCGAGCAAAGCACTGGGTAGACTCCAACTTGTTCAGAATTCAGCTGCTAGAGTGCTTACACGTACACTATTCCATGAGGACATTACACCAGTCCTCTTATCCCTTCATTGGCTATCGGTCAAATTCCGAGTGTATTTTAAGATACTGCTATTAACCTATAAGGCTTTAAAAGGGCTAAAACCCACATTACTTGCAGGAACTAATACATTTATATATTCCATCAAGGTCCTTAAGATCTTCTGACCTTCAACTGCTCACCACTCCCAGGTCTAGGTTGCGCGCTTTTGGTGATCGGGCTTTTGTTACCGTGGCACCCAAGTGATGGAACGCTTTACCATTTGAAATCAGGAAATCAGAGTCGATAGATATATTTCTGCTTAAAAAAACCCATCTATTTAAACTGGCTTTCCCTCTTTAATTTAGTCAGTTGCCCTGGTTGTGTTTTTGTTTTCTGCTTTCCATGCATTGAGCATTGGGATCCTAAGATGAAACTCGCATTATAAATTTTAATTATTTTCTGGTCGGTGTCCAAAACGTCGGATCCAACTGACCACCAGGTGGTGATCAGTTGACAGCTCTGCCCCTCTCTTCACCTGAGGGTACAGACCATACGGCCTTAGTTCCAATGATACAACTATAAAGTCCATGATTGACCTTCGGCCCAAGGTACACTTGAGCATCCTTGTGTTCGAATATCGTGTTTGTTATTAACATTTTGTGACTAGCGCCGATCAGGGGGGCCATTCCTCCCAATCACACCTCTATAGGTTTCTCCATCGTTTCCCACATGAGCATTGAAGTTGCCCAGTAAGACTATGGAGTCGGTAGGCGGCACTCTATCGAGCACTGCACCCACCGTCTCCAAGAAGGCAGAACACTCTGAACTGTTGTTTGGTGCATAAGCACAGACAACAGTCAGAGTTTTCCATTTTGAGATCCGAAGTCTCATTGAGGCGACCATCTCATCTACTGGGACAAACTCCAACTAAACAGCACCCAGATGGGGGCTTGTGAGTATCCCCACACCTGCCCGAGGCCTCTCACCAGGGGTTACTCCAAAATAGGGGAGAGACCATCCCCGATCGAGAAGTTTGGTTCCAGTGCCAATGCTGTGTGTTAGAGGTGAGGCCAACTATGTCTAATTGATACCTTTCCACCTCCTCCACCAGCTCCGGCTCCTTCCCTCCCAGTGACGTGGCATTCCACTTCCCAATAGCTGGGTGTTCATTGCCAAGGTCCAGTGCATCCAAGACCATCCCTCTCCCTGCCATACTGGCATTGCACCCGCCCCTCACTCTTTGTTCTGCGGATGGTGGGCCCACAAGAAGGCACCACGTAGCCACCAGGTGCTTGCCGGCAAACCCCACCCCCAGACCTGGCTTCAGGGGGATGTCCTGGTATACCTTGTCTGGGCAAGGTTCTCTGATCTTTATATTTCAAAACCATTCATAAGGGACTTTTGTTTGGACCGTTATTTGTCTGGAACCTCCCCCCAGACCGGTTTGCCAAGGGAGACCCGACCAGGAGTACAAGACTTTGTAAATTTCAAATCCTGGAATGTTTTCCAAATTCGCATCAAATACACCAAAAGGCAGCAGAATGATTTGCAAAAGAGATCAATGAATGAGGTATTTGGTTGGGCTCCCACTTGGCTTATATACCAGTGTATGTATGGATGAATAACTTAAAATGTATTACCGTATCTTCAGCTCTTTTAATCTACAGACACAAATGAGCAAAGTTAATAAAAGCAAGTTCGGCATCATCCATGAGCACATAAAATACATTTCCTATGGTTGTAGCAAAATTTACTCCATATTGTACATCCATTTATTGTATTTCTTACGCTTTGAAATATGTCAAAGATGTGATGCACAGCACAAAGCTGGATTTGTATAAGGATGCACCAGACGGTCTCTCTTTTCCAGTTGCTAATATTCAAAGTGTTTCTGTTCTTACATTTACTGTGTAGTGAGATTTATTGCTATATGCATTGTGGCTGTTCAGACTGTTTTCAGACCATGTTTTCTATGATGAGGTTGATGGTCTTGTCTCGAAGAATAAACGTGTCATGCAGATCTTTGGAGTCTGTGTCCAGGTCCTGGTCTCTGGAGGCAAAGTATTCATTACGGAAGGCACTCAGAGGGGTGCTGGCCAGTATATTCATATTGTATTTGTAAAGTTTGACACTTGATGCCACAGAGAAGATTGAGATTCCCTTCTCTTTCGCTTGCTCAGCCGCCTCTGATATCCCTCCGCAGGGCTGTCCCGTGACATGACCATCTGTAAGAAATGCATGGCAGGGTTAAGTGCAGTGAGTCTTATGAAGACGATGTTTTTCCTTTTTGCATAGGTGAATTTTACATCATTGTGGATGAAGGACAATGCAACTCTAAAGGTATAAGGCCCAAAGGGAAGAATAATGTATTGGTTGACACTGGTGGTTTCCAATGCAAAAAAGGTGTCTCTATAATTAAAACCAATCTTATTTAAACTCAAGTTTAAAGTTATTTAAAATAATAGTAACAATTTGCTTTTCCACTCACCTGTGATGAACACAGCAAAGTTTGACTGTGCCCTCGGCTGAGAGAGCATAATCTTCTCGGTCATGTTTTTGATGGCGCAGTCTGTGAAGGTGCCCTGACCAATGTAATTGATTGCATTGATATTCTTCTGGAAGACATTTTTGTTTGCCGTGATGGGACTAAACTCCAGCACTATATCAGAGAAGTGCAAACCGCCCAGCTGCCAAGCGAATTTATAGCCAAAGGTAGACGATCTTTCAGGAAGACGCTTCACCAGCTCCACGCCAAATGTCTTGAGATGATCAACAAGGCTGCCTGAGGGCAGGTACTGCAGTGCCACGCTCTCAGACGTGTCCAGTGCCAGGTAAAGGCTCACGTTGCAGACAAGCGGCTCTGAAAGCAACACACCGCACATTGTTGCACGTGACACAATGCTCCACATACAGGCACGGGATTTTATATATCTATATATTTTTTAATTATTTCTGATTCATAATTGGTTTATTTTAGATTAGGTCGTGTAAAAGTGCATGTCGTAAACGCTCCTTCAATCGACACAGACAATTAATCAAGGTGTCACGTGAATGAAACGTGCCAAATGTATTCCTGCTTCAGCAGTCGCACCGATGTTGTTGTTTGAGAGCAATTTAACGACATTTAATTTGGTTTTTGACGTTTGTGCTGGAGATTACATCCAGCATCATCAGGTTGTTAAGAGGAGCTCGCATTTCTTATAAACCACCTAGACTTCATGGATTACCAATACTGGCGTGAGAACATTGACGTGTTTGTATGAAACATACACTTTTTTCACACTGCACAATCAGTGGTGAATCATACTATATTTTCAGAGGCCTGGAAAAGTACTTCTGGTTTTTACATTTAACTAACTCATTCAGTTTCATTCATAGAACAAAACAAGAAACTTGATTGTATGAGTGGCTTTATCTGAATTCTGCTGCATTCTGATGATCAGTTAAACCAAAAAATAAACTACATGCACCCATCACATGACTTCCCAAAAACCACGATGGCATTCCTGGTCCCAAACTGCCACAATGAGCTGAATACATATTCTTAGTTTTTTCGGTAAAGTCACGTTGAAGAGAAACAACAAATAATATAATATATATAAAACAATAAAAATTCTCACGACGTTTCGACCATAACTCAAACGGTCATCTTCAGGTGTGTTGGTTTGCATAAATTTATTTTTAAACGGCGCATTTATTTATTTATAAAAAACGTTAGCGTCACGCGCAGCGATTTGGCAATTTGCCCAGGACTAGTCCATCTATATTTTGAAAAGAGGAGGGGGGAGACGAAATTTTTTATAATGTATGCTCTCTGAAAGCCACTGTAAGCGTGAACAATCAATTAAGAACTGAAATGGTTTATCAAATCTTTCCAATGATTGCTAAGATAGAATCCATCTTCTCGGTTGAAATTGTCTCTGTGCTTGTATATGTGGATAGCCTCATGAACGAATCTCTCATGGAAGCCAGATGGCTTACAAAGAACCTCTGTCTTGGAAAAGTCAATGGCATGTGAGCCTACTGAATTAGAACAATGATCTGCTACGGCCGAGGTGTTGGTCCTACCGTGTTTAAGGTCTGCTTTGTGTTCACGAATGCGGTCCGAGACATGGCGTTTGGTTTCTCCCATGTAACTACTACCACAGAGGCAACTTAGTTTGTAGACACCAGGGTATTGTATGTCCGGAATCACATCTTTTACAGACGGAACCAGATCACGGATTTTATGTAATGTGTTGAAACGGACCTGGATCTTGTGTTTATTCAAGATTTTGGAGATCTTTTTTGTGATCCCAGCAATGTAGGGTAAAGTGATGGTTTTGAAAGGCTCCTCAAGAGGGTTCTTCTTCATGGTTTGAGTGATAGCTTTGCGGATTGTATAGTCGGAGTAACCATTAGCCCTAAGAGCTTGGTGTACGTGCTTGAGTTCACTGCTTATGTGTTCCTGGTCGGATATGCATTGGGCTCTATGATACAGAGTCTTGATGAGAGAATTCTTCTGTGATGGATGGTGGTGGGAATCCGGTTTCAGATAAGCATCCGTATGGGTAGCTTTCCTGTAGACAGAGTGGCTCATTGAACCATCAGGTCTCTTTTTAATTAGGACATCCAAAAAAGGTATCTTGCCATCTATTTCGACTTCCATGGTAAATCTGATGGCTGGGTGTATGGAATTGATGTGGTCGAAGAATTGGTCTAGAGCAGGCCGGCCATGTAACCCATACGGATGCTTATCTGAAACCGGATTCCCACCACCATCCATCACAGAAGAATTCTCTCATCAAGACTCTGTATCATAGAGCCCAATGCATATCCGACCAGGAACACATAAGCAGTGAACTCAAGCACATACACCAAGCTCTTAGGGCTAATGGTTACTCCGACCATACAATCCGCAAAGCTATCACTCAAACCATGAAGAAGAACCCTCTTGAGGAGCCTTTCAAAACCATCACTTTACCCTACATTGCTGGGATCACAAAAAAGATCTCCAAAATCTTGAATAAACACAAGATCCAGGTCCGTTTCAACACATTACATAAAATCCGTGATCTGGTTCCGTCTGTAAAAGATGTGATTCCGGACATACAATACCCTGGTGTCTACAAACTGAGTTGCCTCTGTGGTAGTAGTTACATTGGAGAAACCAAACGCCATGTCTCGGACCGCATTCGTGAACACAAAGCAGACCTTAAACACGGTAGGACCAACACCTCGGCCGTAGCAGATCATTGTTCTAATTCAGTAGGCTCACATGCCATTGACTTTTCCAAGACAGAGGTTCTTTGTAAGCCATCTGGCTTCCATGAGAGATTCGTTCATGAGGCTATCCACATATACAAGCACAGAGACAATTTCAACCGAGAAGATGGATTCTATCTTAGCAATCATTGGAAAGATTTGATAAACCATTTCAGTTCTTAATTGATTGTTCACGCTTACAGTGGCTTTCAGACAGCATACATTATGAAAAATTTCGTCTCCCCCCTCCTCTTTTCAAAATATAGATGGACTAGTCCTGGGCAAACTGCCAAATCGCTGCGCGTGACGCTAACGTTTTTTTTATAAATAAATAAATGCGCCGTTTAAAAATAAATTTATGCAAACCAACACACCTGAAGATGACCGTTTGAGTTATGGTCGAAACGTCGTGAGAATTTTTATTGTTTTATATATATTATATTATTTGTTGTTTCTCTTCAACGTGACTTTACCGAAAAAACTAAGAATATGAATTACTGCAGTCACGAAAGCTTTAAATCAAAATTTGAGCTGAATACATTTCACAACTTATTGGTTTAATGTAAACGTACAAAGTTTCTCTGGGATGTATTTTCGAGTTGTGGCATGTGTTCGTGTATTGGCATGATGTACGTTTCACTCAACGTGAAAAATCTCCCAGCAGGTGGAGCAAAACGTCGGATATTATGCCGAATGAAACGCGGTACAACCAAACACATTGCAGAACTTTGTAGCATCACTGTGAAAACCTATGCAGTAGTCATAACAATTTTTCGGTTATCCCCGCAGTGGCTTTTGGCTAGCCATCACACAAAGAAAGTCACTGCATCGCATACTTTCAGATGCGGTTCTGTAGCCATCTGGAAAGCTCTTCCTTCTGATATTAGGAAGCCACTGGAGCTAAACACTTTTAAATTTAGATTTTAAAAACTCATTGCTTCAGAACTGCTTTTGTGTTTAGATTGTTATCCATCCTCCGCACCTCCTATTAGCATGGTTCGCTACATACGTTGCAAAATAAGTTCAACATACATACAATTTCCCGCTGTCTACATACATTACTATGAATGTATAAAGGCAATTTTAACATTTATACCAAAGTAATTTGTTAATATTTCACACACGAAGATTTGACAGTTATATAACTAGTGTAATACATGTAACTGCTAGACATGAAGACGATTCTCTCATGTTAATTTAGCCGATGTATATTCTTGGTTCTTTCGGTAAAGTCACGTAGAAGGGACACAATAAAATAATAAAAATATAAAACAATAAAATTCTAACGACGTTTCGACTGTAACACAAGCAGTCATCATCAGGTGTGAAAACCACTGCAAGAAAATTTGAAAAAAGTGGCGATTTTTTAACGTTAGCACCACGGATAGCGATTTGACAGTTTGTTAAGATGGACGAGTCCATCTATGTTCGGAAAAGAGGAGGGGGGAGACGAAACATAATGGATGCGGTCTGAAAGTCACCTTAAGCGTGATCAATCAATAAAGACCCTAAATGGTTTATCAAATCCTTCCAATGATTGCTAAGCCAGAATCCATCTTCTCGGTTGAAATTGTCTCTGTGTTTGTATATGTGGATAGCCTCATAAACGAATCTCTCATGGTAGCCAGATGGCTTGCAAAGAACCTCTACCATGAGAGATTCGTTCATGAGGCTATCCACATATACACACACAGAGACAATTTCAACTGAGAAGATGGATTCTGGCTTAGCAATCATTGGAAGGATTTGATAAACCATTTAGGGTCTTTATTGATTGATCACGCTTAAGGTGACTTTCAGACCGCATCCATTATTTTTCGTCTCCCCCCTCCTCTTTTCTGAACATAGATGGACTCGTCCATCTGAACAAACTGTCAAATCGCTATCCGTGGTGCTAACGTTAAAAAATCGCCACTTTTTTCAAATTTTCTTGCGGTGGTTTTCACACCTGATGATGACTGCTTGTGTTACAGTCGAAACGTCGTGAGAATTTTATTTTTTATAATTTTATTGTTTCCCTTCTACGTGACTTTACCGAAAGAACCAAGAATATGAATCCCTGCAGTCACGAAAGCTTTAAATCAAAATTTAGCTGATGTACTTGTGGGCTTTATTTGGCTAATCTGAACATAAAAATGATATGTTTAGAGAGCACAGAAAACTATACATACACTTACAATATGGGTATGCTTACGATATTTTTTCCCAGAGAAAAATAAGCTTCTTCAAAGAAAACAGCTTTTACATGCGATTAAACTTAATAATATTTTCTAAGCAATAAAAAAAACATTCAATCATCTCATAGCGGCTGTTGGCTATTGCAAAGGGAATATCGTTTGTGTCTTTGTTGAAACTAGAACCATATGAGCAACACACACAATATGACAATCCAAAATAAGGTTGGCCAACTGGCATGTACTGACTGGTGAGCAAACAATAACATGAACATTGTCAATCACAGCTTTAGATCTGACTATACAACTGCTCAACGCTGTAGAAAGTTTTGGAGGGGTCACCGTGGGTTCAGTTCATGTCGAATGTATTTCCTGCTGAGGCAGAAATCAAAAGTTATAATGATAATGCTCATGTAATTATTATGATAAATGAAGATGGATA